CTAGGCGTCCTCTACAAAAAGTGGGCTATATGCCCAAAATGTCTAGTGCGACAAATTTGTACTGAAAATGGGTGCGCTAGTGTCCAAGCCCGCACCTACGCCTGGAAGGAAGGTCTGAGTACTGAGATAATTTGCGGGCACCTTCCTCAGAATGGATGCTCGATGTCACGGGACTCTAGTTAACAGACTGCAAGTGCACACTGCACTGTGGCATGGGGTGGACAATGGGACAGACCTCAAAGGCTGTTTCCCTACCTTCCTTACCTTATCCTGGGACTTATTGTTCTCAGTATGTCCTGACAGTTTCGCCGGCGACTCGAACAGCCTACCTACGTGCCGTTTCAACGCCAACATCGAATCGTTTTTCTTCGCAAAGGTTTGAGTCACATTCATCGCTACTTACTTACCTTGAGAAAGTTGTTGGTGCGTACTCACCTAGTCAATTGCTACCTACCTCTTAAGTGGCGTATGTCAGTCAGTATGAGCTGGCTCTATGGAAGCCGCTCGAGGGTCAGCGGGTATCTATTCACCTTAGGCCTGGCCGTCCCTGCAATCAGGGGCGTTCGGGACGCCAGGGTTGTCATTGGCATCATCTTCCGGGGCATTGGCAACTCCGTGGTTGCCATCGGCAACTCCATTGGCATTGGCAACTCCCAGTGATGAGGCCAAAGAGGGCAGCCGGTCAAACGTAAGGTCGTCTAAAGTGGTGAATACCGTAAATCCGTGGTTACCATCGGAAGCTCCTGCAGCATTGGCAACTCCGGGGTTGTCACCCTCGGGTCCAGCGGCAGTCCCTGTTTCCTCCTCACGCCTGCTCTGGGCGTAGGCGTGATTGTGTTCAGCAAGAACCATTTCCAACTCTAGCAGACGCGTGGCCTCCCTGCAAGCTTCGTGCCTTTTGCGCACATAGCTTTGGTTCAATTGGGCAAGCACAATCGCCATCTGTCGGACTCGTGCGTCTTCCACGGGCAAGTTGGCTGCAAGCATTTGCAGCGCATAGCTCAGGTTCAAGTAGGCAACCACAGTCCCCATCTGTCTGACTCGTGACCGTTCATCCTTCCATGCACGCCGCCGCTGCAGAAACAGCTCGTAGAGCTGCCGCAGGCGGTCGCCCATCGGGTCTCCGTGGTCAGCCATTTTGTGTGGCTGGAGGGAAGTTGTTTTGGTGAGTGTTTATCAGTCTCGCGAGGCTTGATTCTGTCAAGTTCGTTGACTGTGGTTTGAGTTTGAGGAAGCAAGAGATTACCGGCCTCTTTACTTGTACTAAAGCCGCTTCTTATACTACCAGACGTCACCAAATTTCCTTTGAGCATCAAGACAGTCATGGGTGTTATAAAATAACAATGGTGTTACAGACAGACTCCGGACGGATTCACTACCAAACTAGCTCTTTGTTCCGATACTCTTTTCCAGTCGGGGAACATGTTGCTCCTTGAACACTGAGATACCCAGCAATACAGCCCTGAGGCCATCGTCCGTCAACAGCACCAGAGTCCAGACCTGGACATCGGAACATCATTGCTCGCCCGGCTTCTCAGCTGCGGAACACAAGATTGTTTGCTCTACCTTAGGTAACATAGGTAAGGTATCCTTGAAATTGTGTGGGCAAAGTGCTTCCAGCGTCTAGCATGTCCTCGCCGAGGCCGACTACAACAGCTAAGAATCATAGCGGTCACTAACACGTTCCATTTCTCTTTGCGAGGATGGCCATTATTCTTTAACAGTGTTAACACGTGCAGATACGATTGAGATTGCCAAGACTCCTAGTCTTGCTAGGTCAACACAAGTACTACCTAGTCAGTCATGGCTCTACAATGAACACCTATTATTGTCATTCCATGTCCTAGTACTAACACCTCTACTCCAGCCAGTCATCTTTCAGGTTCCCCCTGAATGCTCGACTCTACAACCTATTTCAATGCTCTACATGATACCGTAATGACATGAAGATGAGAGTATGGAAGAGGAGCATAGGTACCTTAATGCATGATCCTAGGCCCCTAGCCAAGATCTTGGTACTGACTACTAATAGGTACCGAGTACTACGTGATATCTCGCATCATGTTAGTTGGCCAAATCTTCCACCTCTCATCTAGCCAACCGCATTGCGAGGGCTCATCACCCCGCTTGTCAACGTCTGTTTCAGGCTTAGGATGACCGACCCAAGATGTAGGATGCTCGACATGCCGCGGGGACCAAGGTAACCCACCCCTGATCTTTGGCACCATGAATTTATCCATGGTATTAACCAGCAGTTCCCGACCCGGCGTCCGGGACAGCACGCTCAAGTCCTGCACAGTCTTGATCAATCTCCACCTCTTTATTTTCCTCGAATCCTCGGTGAGTTTCCCCTCACTCCCAGCAGGCAAAGGACTTTGTTCAACGAAACTTTGAACCAGTCGTCCTAGCTCGCCACAACACCGTGCTTCTCAAAACAGAGCTGGTCGACCGCAACCATGGGTTTGGGATACAGAATCCTCAAGCTCATTGTTCGCAATGATGCGATGAAGGAGGAGTACGCACGCTTTGCCTCAAAAGTCATGGGTAACACGTGAATATGCTGACAGAGTAACCGCAGCCCCGAAGAAATCTACGGATGGCGGGTATTTGCTCTCGTTTGGGCAGGTAAGTAGGACTGCTCATCGACTTCTGGACACAAGTTGTCTCTTCTTATGAGCATACACTTACATGATTCTCTTGCGTAGCATGGTAAGAGAACCAACCGGTACACAGCGGAGTCGAACCGTTCGAGCTGGGCTAACATTGACCCCCTGAAGCTTCGGCGGAATGCTTTTCGGATGGGAGTAGGTGGATGAACACACGCTCACGAGAATGACGTTGAGAGCCTCGGCTGACGCTGCTCACAGTATCGGTACTATTGGAGGTGTCCTGGCCATGCCCGCGATGCAACAGTGGGTGCCTCCTAGACCATCGTCAGAAACGATCAAGTCAAACGACTAACACCATCACAGGCAGTACGGCTACATCACGTACGACGCGAAAGACAAGGCCGATATGTCACAGAACAGTAAGCAAATACAGCTTTTCATCGTACATTAGGCAGTCGTTAACACCAGGCTTTAGTTGCTTCGACCCTGCAAGCAGGATGCATCCTCGCCTGTCTGATTACGCCCTGGATGACGGACCGGTGGGGAAGACGGTGGGCACTGATCGGCACAGGCCTTGTCACACTCGTCGGCGTCATCATGCAGTCGGCGTCGGCCGACACGGGTAACCTTGGCGCCATGTACGCTGGCCGGTTCGTGGCCGGCCTCGGTGTCGGTGCCGCCTCCATGTTGACTCCGCTCTACGTCTCGGAATGCGCCCCAAGAGCCATCCGCGGCGGTCTGACTTGTATGATTCCTTCTGCTCTGATCCATGGTTACCTAAGGGTTGATGGTGGTGCGGTGCTTTGCTTACATTCTTGAAGCGTTTTACCAGCTCTTCATCGTCTTCGGCGTCATGGTCTCGTTCTGGATCAACTACGGGTCCTTGTTGCATCTCCAGGGGAAAGCGACCTATGCGGTGCCCCTTGCTCTACAGGCTCTTCCCGCGCTGTAAGTTGAGTGTGCTTCAGTAATCACCATCAACCCAACGTCAAGATTCGCATATACTAACGTGCTTTCCTCCGAACCCCAGCCTCCTCGTCATCTTTATGCTCATGGTACCGGAAAGCCCGCGATGGACAGCCAAGCAGGACAACTGGGAGGCGACAACCCGGATTATTGTCCGGCTGCGAGGGTAAGAAACCCAGTCCACTCTAGGGTGCAACATGCTATCTCACTCGCTAATCTGGTCAAATCATGCTCACGTAGCCTCCCGGCGGACCACTCCTATGTGCAGAGCGAAATCCAGGACATGGCCCAGCAGCTCGAGAACGAAAGGCGCCTAACTGGCGACGCTACGATCCTTGTCCTGCTCAAGGAACTAATCTTCATTCCCGGGAATCGCAATCGAGCCGCCATCACCGTCATGCTCATGATTTGGCAGCAGATGACGGGTGTCAATGCCATTGTGAGTTTTCCCAATCTATATCCAACTTCAAGCATATTTGCAGTGCTCACGCCATAATGCTCCAGAATTACTACGCCCCCCAGATTTTCGAAGGGTTAGGAATGTCAGGCACATCAGTCCAGCTCTTCGCCACGGGCGTGTACGGCATTGTCAAGGTCGTCGGCTGCTTCTTCTTCCTCGTCTTTGTTGCCGACTCGCTGGGCCGCCGGCGCAGTCTGCTGTGGACCAGCGCCGCGCAGGCCATTGCCATGTACATTGTTGGCATCTACGGCAAGATCGAGCCTCCCCAGAAGGACAAGCCGGTAAGCAATACTTATTCATATCTACATCTGGGTTATCGATAGGTTTGACAGCATAAGTAAAACAGATCTCGGGATTCGGGTACTTTGCCATCGTTCTCATCTACGCCTGGGCCGTGTTCTTCCAGTTCGGCTGGGGTCCCGTGTGCTGGATTCTCGTCAGGTATGTCCAGTCAATGCCATGGTTGCCCTTTGAAAATGGAAATGGACAGTCAGCTCTGATACCCTGGATTGCAAACAGTGAGATTCCGACCGCCCGTCTTCGTGCCCTGAACGTGGCCATTGGCGCCCTCACGCAATGGGTCTTCAACTTCATCATTGCGCGGACTGTTTTGACCATGCAGGTCACCATGGGCACGGCCGGCTATGTGAGCTTTCGCCTTTTTCATCTTTCAAAACCTGCATTTACTGATGAGTCCCAGGGCATGTTCTTTCTCTTTGGTACATTTGGCTGGATCATGGGAATTTTTGTCTGGTTCTTCATTCCAGAGACAAAGGGGATCAGCCTGGAGAAGATGGACGAGCTGTTTGGTATGACCCAGGCAGTGAAGGATGTCGAGGACCGCCCTTCTGTGACTGGAAATGAGGTCCGGGAAAACAATGCTGAGAAGGCCTAATGGAAGGGACTGATGATGGTGTGGCCATGGCAATAACTTGGGGTAGATTGTTAAGGTGACAACATGTGGACCGGGAATTGGTATAGTACATTCTCCACAGAGACACAGACAAACTGGAGACAGGAATAAAGGCATCTTCAACATGACGACGGCTCTTGTGAATGTGCAGCAGTGAACGTTCCATGTACCAGAACATAATGCCCGTAACCTACTGAGGTGGTTACCTAGGGTATACATGCTTATAATTATCGTGGGATATGCTTAGGTTAGGAACAGCGAAAGTGAACAGGCACTATCTGCATTCTTCCATACCTACCTTGACTTTGGCCAGCATTGGGTATATAACTCAAATCCTCCTTCCTACTTCCAACCCCCCACGGGTAGAAGTACCGTAGAAGTAGCAAAGTGGTAATACTCCCTCCCAAACTCAACGGAGGTCCCCTGTTCGATTCACCAACCGGGAAGACCGGATGCAGCCACTTTGTGAGTGTCAGGGGCTGTAAAGTCTGGAAGATGATCATGAAGAACATTTCCATCATATTCGCAAAGTGTCGTTGGTCATCCGACCCATCAACAAACCCACTGTTGTCCCAGGCGATGGGATAGAACTGGCCACGGCAGATGATGACCCAGAGGCTTTAAGCACCTTGGAACCAGGAAGTTCGGCAAGGTAATCAGAGAGGAGTTTAGCTAATATCACACGATCATTCAGGATGTCGATTTCATCATCAGCATCATTGATACTGCGCTGCGCCTGGGAGCGTCAAGCAGAAGCTTTTATACATGTAGCTGCCCAATACACCGTTCACCCAGGTCACCCAATATCCCTTTTACAAGGGCCCCGATGGCTCTCAAGTCCAGATTGATATCAGTGTGCATTGGCACCTAACCTTGAAGTATGCATTTCACTGGTATTCTGGGCTTGATCATCGTTGGCCCTCCCAGCCCCAATCAGCGCCAAAGTCTTCTACCCACTAGGTAGTACTAGTACCTAGTGATATAAGTCCAGAATGCGATATACGTTGCTAAGGTCGTTTTTCGATCCAGAAGCCTTCATTTTGCGAGTCAAAATGCCTCCATCCAAGGATCTGAAAGCCCTGATGGACAAGGATCCACTGGGGACCAGCCTATACGTCATGTGGCACTACAACTTCGACAGGGAAATGCAGAGTACACAGGACACGCTGGCGGTCATCCGGGAGCTACGCCGATCGGGGAAGATTCTCGACAAGGCGAATGAGAATCCTGTCTGGAAAAACATTTCCAGACAAGTCGAACCGTAACTGCCTACATGTACCTGTAAATGGTTATTGGTTACCAACATGAATAACTGAACCCCTAAACGAATAAAACCGCCCACCCATTTCCTCAGGGGCAATCCTCACCCCTCCCTAGTCCCATTCTGCGCCGAACTAACATTACTACTACTGCTCGCCTGCGCCCCTCCAATCTCCTCACCCTCGCCCTCACCCTCGCCATACTTGACGGTAATCTCTGTCACCTGGACAATGCCACGGTTCTTTGGCTGCACCCCGCCCTCTCTTTCTTGGTGGTTATGATTATTACTACTGTTATGATTGTTATTGCCGCCCAGGATGCTCCGGTCGCTGCCGTCGTCGTCCATCTTGTGCAGCTCAATGTCGCTGGTGACGCGCGCGGGCTTGCTGGTGATGGTGACGAAGCGGCTGTAGTTGCCCGTCAGGCCCGCGTCGTTGTTGGCGTAGCCCGTCTGGTACCCGCGCGACGACTTGACGTCGCGCACCAGCACGCGCAGCATGGGGATGCTGGCGGCGATGATGGACGCGCACGTCTCGGCGTTGCCCCAGATCCAGAGCTTGATGCCGTCAGCTGTTGTGGGTGTTTGTTGTCAGCTGATCTGTGTTTCACGGTTGAAATATGGAGGTATTGAGGAAGACGCACCCAAATCTGCCGAGGCCATTCCGGGCAACTTTGTAGTCTTGACGACGGCCGTGGCGCCCGCAAAGACGCCCATGCTCATGGCAATGCCCACTCCGATCTTCTCCCTGGGCTGCATCTGCAAGCCCCAGAGGAACTTCCACGGCAGTATGGCGAGCGCAATGTCCATAAAGGCCGAGAAGGACGACGAAAAGATGTCGTAGCGCTCCAGCACCTCGGGGGCCCAGCAAGTGCCCTCTTCGAACGGCACCGTGAGGTCCCATGCTTTGTGGAGGGGTTTGCACCGGATCCATGAGAACAGGCCCGACAAACCCATGAAGATGTTCATGGAGACGATGGCAAAGATGGCAACGTTCTTGATCCAGCCGTCGGTGATGCGCATCAGCGTAATCGCAAACGATGTCTTGCTCCACACGGCGGCCGTGACGGAAAAGGTACCCGAGACGAGCATTGGGAGCATCATGGCTTGTATGTTGGCCGGGTCAATGTCCCATGAGTGTTTTCCATAGCCGAGAGTGGTGAGGTATGATTGAATAGACGTCGTGATGAGGATGCAGACCTGTTCTCTTGTCAGTGACATGGACTTGAGTATACCCTTAACACTTCTGAACAGAAACTTGTTAGCCACCATGAAGATGGCCTGACGTCTTACCCATGAAGCAATGAGGACCCAGTCATCCCACCATAGGTTTTGCCGTCTCGTAAGGAGGCGACAGTAGACGCGCAGGGCCAAGAAGATGGACGCAACGGCAAACAGAGACCAGACACTCGCGAGAAGCTCTTTGGATTTATCGTCGTGTGGCAGCGCGGCCAGCTCTTCAGCTGTCAACCCCAGAAAGTTCGCCGGGATGCCTTGGGCGTCCGACATCTCTGCTGTGACCTCGGCCATCGTGACAAGTTCGATCTCGTTACTGGCTCTCGCGGTTCGGCTGTTGGACTGTGCCACGCACTCTCGAGGTAGCCGCCCAGGATGAAGGTACAGTCAATACTCGCTGCACTGCCTGGTCGGCTCCGTCGTCCCAGTCACGGTCTCAGACTATGACCGAGCGACGAGTTCGGGGTTAACGGATGGCGCAGAGAGAGAAGTTGAATCCAACCAGACGGTAACTCTGTTGCATCAGCGGGCGGGAGGTAACCTAGTAGGAAGCACAGGCATTGCAGATCCTTCTTGCGGGGTTTTTATTGTTGTTCTTGGGCCGAATAAAAGGGGAAGTGATGGTCGATCCAGGAGCAACGGAAGCTTGAACAGCTTTCCCTCTAGAAGGGATGTCCCTTGACAGTCAGATCTGGGCATCGGAATTTGCCTCGATAGCCTGCCTCAACCATAGGACTTGGCCAATCCCCAACAAGAGAGACGATTGATCCAATAGCGCCTATCACGCTCTTCGAGTGTCCGACTTAAAAGGTAGAGGATCCCTTGGATATCTGGCTCGCTAGTTGTCAGCTTCGGCCAGGGACTGCACCTCCACCGAAACGTCCGCCCGTGCGTTCATCCAAACTCTCGACGTCCCGGGCACCGGAGTGCGCTCCGGCTCGCTCATCCTAGACAGTGTGCCTGGACTTTGTTTCTCGCTTGGGTACGCGCATGAGTACCTCTACCTACCGTTCCTACTACCCGGTAATGTATGCACCCTCGTACCGATTTGAAGTGCTGCTATGGAAATAAAGAGTCATGATGGATCCCAGCCACATCTGAGCGCCGGTATCTGCCAGAAGGTTCGAGTCAACAGCGCGAATCGAAGACCGCATCATATAAAACACGCTTCCCCGGGTTGGGATGCGCCAGGACAACCCGACCTGCCGACATCTCAGAAGCCTTGGAACACGGACTAGTGGTGAATAGCGCAGAAGCTTCCATCCAGACGGATTCAGGAATGCGACATTCCAGCCCAGTTTCGTTCAAGTTTTCACACCGGGTGAATTGTATTTGGTGGAGCAGAGACCGGGCCAGAGCGGGTTTCGTTCGATCTGGTCATGCCCGTGCGGCCGCTCAACATGGATATCCCGGCATGGACGTGCGATGTGCCTGACACTGAGACTGACCAGAGGCCCGCTGAGTGTGAAAAATGCCAGTATGTTGTCGGGTTGCAATCCGAGCTTTTCTCAGGTGGCTGATGAGATATCTCAAGGAGTTAAGGCTCATTCTTGGATCTGTGCCATGAGTGTGAGTGAGACCTGGGCAAGACCTTAGCCACCTCACTACAAATATCGCGTTGAAAAGAGTGGAGGGAATTGTGTAAGGTAATTACATACTAGGGCTCAGCATACCTACCTTATTCTCTTGGGTGTCTTTGATACCTTATCAACTGAGAATTTGAATGCAGTTATTAGAGGCAAAAGACCACGATGAAATCGCCATCAACCATCAATGAAACCATCGATCTTGGTGGGCCATGCCAAGAGCGTAAAAGTTCCATATTTCGGCAAATGCCGTGAAGATTTTGCAAGCATCAGGCAGGTATTGGATTGATGCAGTGCACGGAGACGGTACATAGGTAGCTTAGGGTAGGGATTCCCGATTGTCTGGATTAGGTTATGTCGGCAATGGAGAATTGAAGATGTGTCGTGAACAGCCTAGGTACAAGTACATCTGGTTCCAGCATCCCTAAATGAAACCCGAAAAGGCTGGACGAGAGGTTGTCGGTACCGGCATTTATCGGCAAAGGAAAGAAGATCTACTAGATTTTGAAGGACCCTCCCGGGTTAGATAACGAATACGGATAAATATCCGTTGAAAAGATCTGCATTGTGGAAGACGCATGGCGGTACAATCGGCGTCGTGACAACCTCAGGGTCCTCCAGATTGTTGTCTCGAACTCTCGATGAAAATGGCTCTGATCATCTGATAGACGACGATCAGTTCGTCCAATAAACAATTGCGGAGCGCGTTCGCTGACGTTATGTACCTCTGTACCACCTCCGTACCGACTGCAGGTGGCGCCTTCCGAGTCTTTATCCCTGAATCCAGTCCCTGACATGCGCACATGCGTCTGTTAGGTAAGCTGCTATCCGACCGTCGTTCCTACCTGATAGTGAGCCTACGAAGTACCAGGTTGATACATCCGTACAACAGCATTGGATGACGGACAGACGATTCACTAGTCAAGAACTTGAAGTCTCGCTAATAAAGGGAGAGGACAGCAGCTGAGCGATATCGCATAGCGACTCGGAGCGAAACGGATATAAGCGCCGGCTTAGGTGGCGCATCACCAGATCAACCAGATGGCGGATGAGGCTCTTTGCGGCTTTTTTTTCTCACCTCCCCCACTTTTTCGTCCCCAAATGATCATCACCGTCGACGGGCAAAAGTTGCTTGGGGCTCAACAAGTTGAACGGGCCAAGATGCCATCCCCTTGCACACTGCATGGAGACACAGCCCCAGCTAGCTCGTGGGCCAAGCCCTTTAGTCCCAGGGACCTGCAAACCGCTCTTTTCAAGCACACCAATGGCACCAATGGCGGACCAGTCAGTTGTGGGCGGCTCGAGGTTTCCCCGACTTTTCAGTAAGCAAGCTGTCGGCAGCTCGCAGCCTTGTGCCACGTTTCCGAGTCCATGGGCTTCTTTTCATCTGCAAGCCGCTGTGGGTTCACGTTGAGCCCTTGCTCAAATGCAACTGTATGAGAGGCTGGGACGCTCAGCTGGATGCATGACTGCAGATCGGGTGCAACGGTTAAGAATAATAAGATTAAATAAGATTAAAGCTGAACTTCTGTATGATGGATATGGGAGAGCTTAAGGCGGTCCGGCTCTGCTAAATAAGACGCGGGTGTCCCTCTCCACCCGGAGCCTGCTGTTGTTTTGTTTTGTTCCTCGGGAGCCGTCCGCGATTGCAAACGACATACGCCTTCGCCGTTCTGACCTGTACGCCCTTGACCGGAACCCCCGTCCTAATACAGACCCCGTCGAGAACACCAAAAATGCGTGCCGGCGCGATAGCAATCCGCGCCCTTCTAGGCGGCAGCCTACATGTGGCCACGGAGCACCGGGTCACCCAGCTCGGGACCTCGCCCAACCCTGGTGCTGGCTTACTCGCCCGCCAGGGCACCTGTGATCCCGGCTGGGTTCTTTGCGTCGACGGCTGCATGCCCGCTGGCAGCGTGTGCTGCACTTCGTATGTCCTGACTCCATCCCTCACTGGCAACGGTGTCAATGATGGCGCAAGACTGTTCATGTTTGAGCCGAGACTGACACGCGACCGTGAACCCAGACGAGGCACCTACTGCGACGCTGGTTATTACTGCATGACTACCAGTGGTTGTTGTCGGGTAAGTAAATACCACTATCTTCAACTTTTCGGCTCTTCTCCGAGTCTAGCTGCCAGAGGTAATTATTGTTCCATGGGACTGATAATGTGTACAGGAGGGCAGAACCTGCTCGGGCGTTGCAACCTGTGATCCTGGCGAGGTGTTCTGCAACAACGGGTAAGTCACTGCAAAATCCCCTCTCCCTACCTTACCCAGTCTACTCAGCGCAAAAACTAACCAACCCTTGCTCCTTTTCACCAGCTGCATTCCCCAGGACGGAGTCTGCTGCCCATCGGGCGGGTACTGCGACCCTGGCGAGGTGTGCACGAGCGACGGCTTCTGCCGCCAGGGAAGCGGCGGCAGCTCAGGGGGCAGCACAACGAGAGCTACATCGACAGTACGCACCACTGCTACTACTACTAGATCAACCAGCAGCCGGGCCACTTCGACTTCTCGGTCTGCAACCTCGACGAGCCGCCGGACAACAACGTCGGACGGGGACGACGACAATGTCCTGCCTACCACCATCCCCAACGAATTCCCGGACGCTACTGAGTCTGCGAGTGGCTTTAATGCCCGGACGACAAGCACCTCGCCCATCCCGAATGGTGGCGGCGGCAGCAGCCCGTCCATCACTCTGCCGGGATTGCCCGGTCAGAATGGGAACGCCGGAACCGCCCTGACTGCGGAGCGGGCTCTGGTAGGAGTCGTGGCTGCCGCGGCAGGGTTGTTCGGGTTGGTATGAGGATGACAACTTGCAGGAGAGATACCCCTTTAGCACCTTGGTTTACATGTAATGTTTGGAATGGATTCATGGATGGAGACGATATGCAGTGATACCTCGACCTTTTATTCATACAGATTTATACCTTGAAGCGGACAGTATAAGGTTGGCTAGGCGTAAGGTTATATATAAGTGCCACACCCAGTTCGTTCATGCTTCTCATCGTCTGTTGAAGGGCTCATACAGTTACTACCACTAGTGCTTCGTATGATTTCACGAATAGTACTACCTAGATTGTTATTAATCTAAGCTTAGTCGGAGCCTCGCTGTCCCTGCTACTACCATTAACGACCACCGGAACCCTTCTCGTCACTGAGTCCCACCAGTAAAAGATCTACTATTGCCATGATCACCTAGCTACTACGGTGAGGTAAGTACCATGGGCAAGGGGTTCTGAGACATTACCCGCTACGTAGCCTCATTACAATCCACGTTGGCATATGAGCTTAGTACGGGCAAGACGAATAGTAATGACAACCATAACATGATAATAGAAAACAGAAATGATGAGCCTCATCTGCATGTGGCCACCCCTATGGGCCATGATGTTGGCATTTGATAATGTCCGTCATTACTTTTCAGTCGCCCGTGCCCAACTAACATGTCAAAGCGAATTGTGATGATGCCGGAGTGACAGAGAGGCACCCCTCTCCCTCATGGTCCCCTGGTACCAGCAGTAGTAGTGAGCAGTGGGAGTCTACATGCAGGGACCTGAAGGGGTTGTCTTCCATTTGTCTCTTGAGAGAAGATATGTGCGGCGAGGAATGGAGTTTGAGTAATGCCGGATCCGCATGACATGCTGCAATCATATCCTTCAAGGTTCTTAGATCCTGATGCTGCAGTGCCCTGCCACCACAATACACATGCAAGCGGCATCATGAATGCTGTGACTGCCTTAGAATTTAGGCCATACCATGCTCCTTAGCAACGCCATATCCTGTGCTTATAGACCTTCCTGACATATCAACTGCTTTTGTTCTCCTTTGTGGGCGTGACGGCTAGACGTGTATGACTCACGCCGTCTGCCATCCTTAGGCTGGCATCACGTATGGGGTGAGGCTTCGAACCATCTCACACAAATCGACCTTCGTCGCTGCGACTGATAGCCAAGCAGCCCTGTCAGTCCCTCATCTGCCGCACGTTGAGGTTGATTCTCTTGTTCTCCATCCACCCCCGCCACTCCTCGTACTTGCCGTCCTCGGCCGGCCAGTCCTGCAGATACTCGGGACAAGTCCCCTTCAACACCTTGGGCACACCATGCCAAGCAAACCGCGACTCCTTGGTCATGTAGATGGCATCGCCCGACCGCAGCCTCAGCAGGAGGTACTCCTTCTTCTTCCCTCCTGCCGCGCCGTTCCCTTCCTCCTCCTCCGCCATGTTTCCCACGTCATTCGGCGCGATCATAAACAGCGAGTCGCACCCAAAACTGAGGCTCACCAGGCCCTTGTCCGTCTCCTCAGACACGTCGCGGTGCATCATCATGGTGTCGCCGGGGGTATAGAAGTTGACGATGGCCGCCTGCGCCAGGGTCTCCGGGAAAAGAGTTTCCAAGAAGGCGGCGATGTCCGGCGGAAAGTCCGGGGGCCGCTCGCCCGAGGGGTAGATGCGATTTGTCCAGTCGTACTGGCCGCCCAGCGTCACCCAGTGCAGTTTGCGCTCGAGGACTTGTCGGATAGACAGGGGCTTGTGAACATCAGGGTCCTTGGGGGCGAACACGACAGGGGAGGAGGGCGGGTAAGAGAAGAAAGATGTGTCGCCCCCGTTCTGTTCGGCATGTGGGTAGGGGAGGTTGAAGTGGAGGTGGATGTTGGTTTGGTGGGCTGGCTGGCTGAGATCCCTGTGGATAAGGCGTCTCAGGAGGGTCTTTTGAACCTCGGGAGGTACTACCGAGGGAACAATGAGTAGACCTGAAGGATGTTAGTATCTTTTTCTCGCGGTGCATGCAATGAAGCCGGGGATGATGGGGCATGCCTGGCAGGAGAGGATGGTAGTATATCGGAGCGTCCTTGGAGGCTTGGAATTCAGGTGTGTTGCCGGGGCAGACATGGCGGAATGACCGGTTCAGTGTCTCAACGGGAATGGTGCCCGCAAGACGGAACTCGGCTGTACTGTCTGCAGATTGAAGATCGTCAATGTCTCTGCTGTCGACCAAGTCCTTTTGGTCAATTCTCGAGAAACTTTTCCACTTGGCCTTGAGTTCGTCCGGCGGTTGCTCATGCGCATCGAGTTCTTTAATGTCTGCTGTCATACTCGCCCAGTGAAGTCTTGGTGAAGTGTTGCAAAGGTTTCTTAAATGCCTGTTAGAAGTGTTACTCACCTGTTAAACTTTAGACTGCAGAACTACAACAGGGTCTCTCCATTTCCCCACGCGGCCGTATCAGTGCCCCTCACTGGCTCTTTTTACCGTGCATCGCGCCGCCATTTAAAGCACTTTGAGTGGGGTGTGCGCCACTGTGGGGCTGATCAAGGGACGCCTCGACGCGGTCGCGTCGCCCCGTCAGCCGGGTTCAATTTGTTGATCAACGCCGGAAATTTGTTTGCAGGATTCTGACCGAACCACCAACTTGCACTCACCACCAACAGCACCTTCGGCCAACTCACCACCAAAAACAGACCTACGGTTGGCACCTCAGTAAGTAACAGTCGATGGCGCAGCGTAACTGACGCCGGCCCATCGCTCTCTTTTCCTCTTTTTCCCCTTCTCTCCGCGGTTGTACCGCCATCTGTTTTCCTCTCAGCCCTTGGTTGCCCCTCGTTCTCAGCCCGTTGCTACACCCCCACCAGCAACAAGGACAATTTTGCGGGCCGTACCACTCGACCAAACGACCAAACCGATCAAGCAGGCCGATCACATCTCTGGAAACCATCATCGACGTCACAAATTCCTAACAAAAATGGAGAATTACCAGAAACTCGAGAAAATCGGCGAGGGTATGTGCTCTGTCCCCCAAATTCCTTCCGGGTTCGCTCTCGGCTGCTTGCTGACTGGGGATTCGGTGTCTAGGAACCTACGGCGTCGTCTACAAGGCCCGCGATCTTAACAATGGCGGGCGCATAGTGGCGCTCAAGAAGATTCGCCTCGAGGCCGAAGATGAGGGCGTTCCCTCGACCGCCATCCGCGAAATCTCGCTCCTCAAGGAAATGCGCAACCCCAACATCGTGCGTCTGTTCAACATTGTCCACGCCGATGGCCACAAACTCTACCTCGTCTTCGAGTTCCTCGACCTCGATTTGAAGAAGTACATGGAGTCGCTGCCTGTCAGCGACGGCGGCCGCGGCAAAGCCCTCCCCGAGGGCACCGGGCCCGAACTCCACCGTTTGGGATTGGGCGATGCTATTATCAAAAAGTTCATGAACCAGCTGTGCGAGGGGGTCCGTTACTGCCATAGCCACCGCATCCTTCACCGCGATCTCAAGCCCCAGAACCTGCTTATCGATCGCGATGGAAACCTGAAGCTGGCTGATTTCGGTCTGGCTCGCGCATTCGGCGTCCCGCTCCGCACCTATACCCACGAGGTCGTCACCCTCTGGTATCGCGCCCCTGAGATATTGCTCGGCGGCCGACAGTACTCGACCGGGGTTGACATGTGGTCGGTTGGTTGCATCTTTGCCGAGATGTGCACGCGCAAGCCGCTGTTCCCAGGCGATTCCGAGATTGATGAGATCTTTAAGATCTTCCGGTGCGTGTTGTTCCCACCTGTGCAATTATACGCGTTCTTGCACTGATGCTTTGTTCCCTTGTAGCTTGCTTGGAACCCCTACTGAGGATATCTGGCCGGGTGTGACCAGCTATCCCGACTTCAAGGCTTCGTTCCCCAAGTGGCAGCGCGACTTTTCGCAGCCGCTGTGCACCAACCTGGACGCAACGGGCCTGGACCTGCTCGAGATGATGCTCGTCTACGACCCGGCCACGCGCATCTCGGCCAAGCAGGCCTGCAACCACCCTTACTTTGAGGACTATGTTCGCCCGCAATACCAGAGCAACGGTTACCGCTAGGAGACCCAGCCCATGCCTGTGAAGCGCGCGACCATCGGCGGTCCACGGCTCCTGCCGGCCCCGGACCTCTAGACCTAAAGCGAACCCATAGCCCGCGGTGGTTTGTGGAACTCGACAGCCTTATTCTGTACCTGGAGCATACATAACGTCTTGCTTTCAGGATACTGGTCGATCAGAACGAACTAAGTGCCGTACGTGGCTGGCGTTGGAATGGTGCTTTGAGCAGTGATATGGCGGGGGATACAGCACGGTGATGCTGAATGTATGGACATGACTCCACGATTGTGGAGGGGCCGGACTGTGCACAGAGCTGGGATGGGATCGGCAGACGGGAAGGCAATGCTTAGGAAAGGAGTTCACGAGGCACCGACATATGAGGGTGCAGCAGTCTTGTTCTCCTTGTTTCCTGCCTCATGCCAAGCACCCAGCCAGCAGGTTTCTTTTCCTTTGTCTCGCACGACTAATGTATGGAGTAGTACCAAGGAACCCGCTAACATACACGGAATTGATCATGTGTCTCTACTATGTTCCTTATTTGGTGATTCTGGACCAAGGATCGAAGAGGTTATGCTCACTTCGGAGATAGTCTGCCCTTTATTGACAATACTCGAGTATCAGATGAAGTCTTAACGCTAGCTTCCATCCCACTCCAAGTTGGAAGGGCGCTACAGAGGAAGCTGCTCTGCGACTTGATATGTTGAGCTCTGGAAGTATGCGGAGGTAACACCATGGAGCGAGGGTGATGTTTGTATCGGAACTGCTCACCAAGTTGATCTCAGGCTGTCTGGTCCATCAGTCCTCTGCCCCAACTTCTTCACCGCTAGTGTTGACAGGCAGCCCCCGCGAACAAGATGCAGGCCAGCGGCGAAGGCTAAGCAAGAAGCTTACATACAGTTCCCGCCTAGGGGGAATTTCTCACACCCTTTGCCACGGCCAGCTAAACATATAAGGTGTAAAAAGACAAGCCTCTCTTTCGTGTCCCCACCAATTACCATGCATAAGTACTCTGCAGGGAGACACCTACCTACCTTGGTTGCTGCTTGCTGCTTGCTTCTTGCTTACAGAATTGCCTCCGAACTTAACATGCCTAATCCCGCCATCTGAAATATAGAGCGAGTTGACGTATGCTAACTATCCCCTTCCCCAGACAGGTACGGAGGTAGCTACTGCCCGAATTCCGTGGCCGGTAAGCCGAGACGTCGCGCAAGGACGAATACCAGGCCATCCCGCCCTCAGCAGGGTGTAGGTAGCGGCATTGCTGACCCTGAAAAGGCATGATTCCCTCTGCTCACCAAACCTTCTCTCTCCCACGCTCGGCAAGAACCGCCAACACCTGTGCTGCGGGGGCTTGGGGCCTCCAACGAGGTAAATTGCAGGTAATAAACCCACACCTGCACCCATGCCAGAGATGAAGGGGCATTGAAACAGATGGATGGGTTGAAGGTATGCCAGAGCATGACGGCGGCCGACAGTACATTACTGTCTGTTGCCATATACGTTACCCCCTGTACTGTAGATTGAGAGGCGTGATTTAGTAATTTGACCTTCAGCTAGCTCCTGGTCCGAAGAACGTCGATGAGGGTGCGGACGGGTTTCGTCCCGTGGTGGTACTTGGTAACTGTTAGTGCAGGCCTGATTTTACACATAAAATTTGGCCTCTCGACTACCCCTCGTAACAAGTCGACGGGGTCGACGGGCACCTTGATGCACTTTGAGCCATCATCGTTAGCCCCGCCGTTTGCCCTCGCCTGATCGACTTTCTTTCACATACTCCGACATTCGGATCACTGAGCAAAACTCTCAACCTCTACTTCACCCCGCCCCTCGGATACACAACCCGACCAATAGCAAAAACCTGCAGATCCTGGAGGGAAACAACAAATAAACAAGCATGGGCACAGCGCTCCTTCATCGTCAACCCACAGTCCCTCACAGCCACCCATTGGTCCTGGTAAACGCCGTTGTGCGATTTACCCGCGGCATCATTCGACGTAGCTGGTTTTGGAAACAACGCATTGGGTCACGGCTCGGCTGGAGGAGAAGCCGAGAGGCAAGCGAGCTGCAGGAAGGGATCAGGATCGAGATCCCGCTGGCCAGGGTCCAAGACCAACAAACCAATCACGTCCCAATCCAGTTCTGCCCCGCTGAACCGGGGGATCTGTCAACCAATTGGACGTGCCGGGGGAAGGCGCAAGGCCGCAGAATCTGGGGACGTTGGCGGTGTTGGCCGCGGCGGAATTTTCCGGGCTTGTAGGTTTGTTGCGCCTCAATCTTGCGGGAGCCAAACGCTAAGTCAGGTAATAAGCGCCCGTGTGGATTGCCCTGCGCTTGCGCTTGCGCTTGATTCCGCGGTTACTGGCGGCGAGAGGCAGGCCACGTCTCGCCAGCGGGAGACCTCACTGCCAATGGTGCGTGGTTGCGGCGTGCGTCATGCGTCAATCCGGTGGGCGTATCCGTACTGAATCAGGTGAATCTTGAAGACTAAGGTCGGCCTATCTAACTTGGCTGCAGATAATTGCTTTCGTATGACAAAGATAGGGCCATTCGAACCAGCATTCCAGAGGAGCACTGAATCCGGAGTAATCCGCCTCATACACGACCGATCCAAATCCTATGCATAGTACCTACTCATCGAGTCTGACTGGTCGCCTATCCGTGACTGCCATTGACATTTGATGGTCAGCGCTCAGCGGGGAGGCCTGAGAACCGGCCCGCCCAGGTCGTCGACACGAACACTTGGGTGCCACATAGATGTTTGCCGAGAAGGTTGGCGTCTGAGATTCGTGCCCGGGCCGCAAATAAACTCAAGGATGCCGGCCGTTCCCGTCGTCTGAACTCAAGTCGCGACTCTGCACTACACGAGGTAGCACTCGACGGTATGGCTCGGTCTGTCCCTTGGCATGATCGGATTATCGCACGTCGCGAGGCCATAATCTAGCCGAAGGAAGCGACCCGGGTTGGTGCGCTCCCCCGCTTTACTGCCTCAGCTGCTAGCCTTCAAATGGCCGCTGCTGTCATCACATGCGAAAGGAATCTGACACGACCGTGTTGGACCGGCAAGCTGATCGCTCAGTCGAGTGTTGAGGCAAGTCAGCCGGATTAGAGGATGGTTTTGGGAAACTCCGGAGTAGATGGATGACATGCAGCCATCAGCCGCAGACGGAGAAACCCTGACACAACCCTCCGGCAGTTGTGCCTCTAGTGCAAACCTTGCCGCACTTTGTGTGAGCGAAGTGTGTTGTGAACCAGCCGTTTCATGGCAGAAAGTCGTTAGCAGGCCCTCTTCAGCCCTCAGTTCGAACTTCGAAGACTGGTTCCAGATCAAACGTTGCCTGAGACATGCAGCAGCAGTGCCCTTTTGCCCTACGGTAAGCCATCACGTTACCGGTGCTAGCCGCAGGATCCAAGCTGCCGTGATCGCACAACGGTTACGAACCATCTGCCGTAAGATAGTTCGGGTGTAGCACAAGGACACCATGACTTCTCAGCTCGAGCAGCGGAAAACCTTGCTTGAGACAGTTACTGGATATGCTCGAACCGTGCTGAAGATATCCAATCTCAGCTCAGCCACCCTCGATTCGCTGGACGAGCAAGATTTTCTCCAAGACATGCAGCGGTGCGGACTGGCCAATCACGGCGCCCGCAGCGTCCCGATCCATCCAAATCCCGCCAAGCGGGGCCGGACTCGGCCTATGCTGGCGAAAGGGACTTTTTTTTCTCATTCGGTGGCCTCCGGCTTTCCTCCCGTCTCCGCCCCGCTATGAATGAAGAGATGAAAGGCATGGCGGGGAGATTGCGCGAATCCGTGATGCCGACCAAGACCCGGCACTGACCCAACTGCTTGCCAAGTGGCCGCCTCCCCGCCAGCCAGCGCACGAACACCACACCGCCCTTCCAAGCAGCCCCTGACCCAGGGGCGGGACGGCAGCACGGGGTAATTCAGGGGGAAGGCCCACAGTGGAGGAGGAATACCTTCTTCCCCGCGAAACGGCCTGTGCATCCCGTGAGCTACTGTATACACTATTCGTACCTGAATTATCTAGTGCATCTGATGTGGGAACTTGCAACCGAAAGTGTGGAATCTGTGGATGTACTTTTGCTCTCCCTGACCGCCACTGTAGAGTATTGATGCTGGAGAAAGGAGAAGCTGCTCCGGTTGCGGCAAATCCGCTCTTGGATGTCCGCTTGGACCTCCAATATATTGCCTCCAACAGTTGATTTGCGCGTTATTGAAACGCGACGATAAATGTTCTGATATACGAGCGGTTGAAACATTTCCATATCATCGCAAAATTTGGTTGCGATGTTTCGAGAGAAAAGTTGCCCCTATTTGATGCTCTGTAAAATCCGCCGCTAACTCTTTTGGATGCCAACAAAACTCGGTCAATTCGTCGCTCTCGGTTGCTCCCACCGAGCGGGGTATGTACAAGGGACCGCAACATCTCGTGCAGGTGGAAGGCACAGTTGGAGATCAGTGCAGACACTAACGGACCCGTCAATTCCAGGTTCTTATATCCGTACATACCTACATACGGATAAGGAACGTATGTCTTCCCCTCGCAGAAACATCACAATCCTAGAGGATGTTCCGCGACAGGGAGGATTGTGAAGCTTTGAGTGATAGCCAACATTCCCTCGGCCGGACTGCGGTGCTAGCCAGGCAACGTCCGATCGGGGTTCAAATGGGCAAAGAGTCTGTCTTCTCAGGTAGCGAACAATGTGTATTGTCCCTTATTTTCTGCCAAATGCTCAGGTCAAGCTACGTGGGTTGCACACGCCGTCCCAAGTGTCAGTTGTTTGGGGCCTCTGGGCTGATGGGTGTAACCCCACCATATGACGCAGTCACGCAGATAGGGGCACAGATAAGGGTTTTGAGATGAAGGGGAGATCGATGATAGGGCTTTTACAAGAGAGAACGACAGACCGCAAAAGGGTTGGACCTACGGACTAAACATAAGAAAAGGCCAGGGTCGATCTGTCCAGATCATCGGCCCTTGGAACTAATGCTGGGATGGAATGTGTGATGTTTCGAGGTGTTTTCAACTTGTCGTTTCGTTTCACCGCGATGCAGGTGCTCGATTGGCTTGGCATCAGTACTGCAGTGTGCAACACATTTTACCCCTGCGTTGCCCCTGAGCATTACCTTACATGTAGGTTGGCCAGCCGTGGCCCTGGTACGCAGTGTTCAATAGACAGGAATCAATCCTGAGTTGGATATCAAGATCGTGCATGTCTGCTTCTTCATGAGCCGGTCTGTGTCATTCAACAATCAAATTGTCGCTCAACCCACGACAACAACTGCTGCTCAAGAACGGGCTGCCATAGTCATTTCTAGTTTTTCGTTGCAGAGCCAAGGAGGAACCCCAGGCGTTGTCGCCTTTGAGATGCCTCTATAACTGTCATGTCGAGGCTGGCTGGTGTTGTTATTTGGTTGGGCAGGAGTTATCCTTGGCGTGGTGGAGGCAGTTTGCACTTTGCAGAGTCTGGAAATCGCGATAAATATCAACAAGACAGCTCATACATTCATTCGCATGCTTTGGCACACGCCAATTGGATCTCTATACAAAGACTCGCCACTGCCTGAGTACTCGCAGTTCTTTGAATATCGAGTGGTTGACCACTCCTAATAAGAACGTCCTTCGATTTTTTTGGTGCAAGCCCCTCGCTTGTTTCAAGTCTAAGCGTGGGGGATGCAACCTAACCAATCGTTAGCCGTTGAGAGCCAGATCGCTGGCACTTGAGAATCTCGCATACAGAGCTGCCAACCATTCATGAATCGTGTCATGCACAATGTGGATAGCGCACTGGGAGGAATGCAAATCGGCAGCCACTCAAATAATTGTGGCACTGTCCTCCTCAGGACGGAAAAGACATTTTTGCTCATGACTCGGACCGATGGGTCAGTCCCTACCGTCGAGAGTTGAGGGATGCCAGACGGTTGGTGATGCCACACAACGCCCATGTAAGGGTTTCCTCTACATAGTGATAAAGGCAAATGATCCCCAAGTGTGACCTTGCATCCCTTTTTGTGATTAGTTGCGCTCCTGGAATCCGCAATCCAAAAGTCCGCTGTTCGGCAGGAGACAGGAACCTAGATAATACCCCAACTTCCTGGTCTGGCACCTCCATCCGGCCAAACGTCTCCCTGGGACTACCTTCCGAGCTTCACTCTATCTCGTACCCCTCGATCAAGGCTGGTTCCCTGGACCGAAGGAAAAGGGGAAGCTCGAGCGAATTTCCACCGAGTTGACGCAGCCCTTCGCTCTTCCTACCTTCTCACCCTACTTCGCAATAGGGCTGTTTATGTGCTGTAAGTTGGTGTCTCTGATTCATCCCTTCCAGCGTAAGCCTGCATACAAATCCCGACCTCAAACCGCCCCTGGCTTTTCGCCAATTGTTGCAGGCTCCTTCCCAGCGCGAATTTTTGAAGAGCTCAACACCAACAGACACAATTTGAAACAGAACCTAAGCTCATATTCATTTTGCAGTGTCTTCGACAGTTTGCTATTTTTCAACAAGTCCGCTCATTAAATCCAATCGTTGAGCCATATCGATCCAGGTTGGAAAGACGTTCCTCGGCAAGGACCCACCGCTCCGCCCCCGCTTTGCCGCTGCGACAAGAGACACCAGCACGAATCAATCCCCCAGACGCCGCCTGACAAGTCGCACTGGGCGACTGCTCGAACACGGCAGGCTCCCCAAACCGCACAACGTTTGCACGAGCCGACCGCCATTTTTGTTTTGGCGCGCGACAACTTTTTACCGCGGTGCTGCATTCCCGTCTGGGCACAAACCCTTTTCCCATAATAATCGCCCGGAGCCCTTGGGGCCCGAATCCAAAATAACGACACGCAGGATTGCAGCACTGCATCTTCGCACCTTTGCTTTCCCCAGCACGGCAGCGCCGTCTTCCAATTGTGCGGCTATTCCTTTCGACACATTCTGATTCCGCTGGTACGGACTTTTCCAGTGCTAGGGATTCGTGATTACCCACCTTCGCTACGGGCAGGTTTTTTTTGGCGTCGACGAGAGATCACCCAGATTCCACAACTCTGGTAATAATAGTGCAGCACCCGTCCAGGACTAGGTGGCTAGCTTCAAATCAGCGGTCTTTTGGCTCGTCCGACTTGTACCCTACCAGTACCCTGCACGGCTCATCGACGGTCGATCGTTCCCGTGATCTCCTGGGATCAAAATCATCGCCAGCTTGGGTTTATCATCATCGAGCCCGCCAGTCAGGTGTCCCCCAGACGGCTCTAGCTGACTGATTTGCTTCGCGATCTTCGCGTCGCTTAGTGACCTGAGGCTTGGCAGTTTTGGTCGTTGGGCTACAGTTCTCAACATTTTGGGCAGCGCTGTGCTCGTGCTGAAAAATCGACCGCACTCCGACACCCTCGCTATTCCCGACATAATAGCGAAGCTTTGCAAGATCCAGACTGGTCTCCTGCGACGTCCTTTTTGCAGACACTGGATTTTGCCCGAGGCACTTCGCGCAAACGGAGTTGCCCGTCCGCTGTCCCCGGCTCCCTCTCAGCTCATTGGGCGGGATCTGGCTTGGCACACTTTGCCCCTTCGCCTCTGACAACCCTTGTCGCATTCCAGCCCGGCTAGCCAAAAGCCTGGAATCTGCTGATCGCGCAACCCACCAGCGCCGGCCGATACAGCGGGCCACCACAACACTGCCGGATTGCCCACGCACCCCCTGCAACCCCTGGACCCCTGCACAGCTGTCCGCCTGGCCGGCCACCACCTGGAACGCCCACGCTCAGCCTCGTGGACAGTGCACGTCACCAAAGCCACTGAGACACGCAGCAACAGGCTCCCTAGCCCTGTCTGCGGAAAGCCTGTTAAGGGGGCCCACGCCCTGAACGGCAAGCTGTTTGTTCAATATCGTCCCTTGATTTACCGAGCCCATCAACCCGGCCCTTCCCCAGGGGCATCAACACACGAGCTTCGCCTCTTGTGAGCACCCCAGTCGTTGATGCCGACGTCTATCTTAGACAAGCTGCTCAATTCTCTCTCGACTGTATTATAAGTCTCGGCATCTCGCTATCCCAACACCCTCTTCGGTCTTTCTCTCCCCAGGACACATAGACAGGAGAGAGTCAGGCACTTCTCACCTGTTACCCGGACTTACTCGCTCATCAATAGACTCATCACACATAATCTTTCACGCACACACATAGCACCATGGAGTCACTACCGACGACGCTCAGCTTAGCTCAGCTTAATGCCAAGGCTCTCAAGATGCTGGTTTGGCAGCCGGTCAGCACGGACATGATCAGGTTCCTGGCGAGAGCTGCCAGCAACGTTATACAATGCGACCCGGGGCCGATCGCCCCGGCGGCAGGCGAAGCTTATACCTCGGATTACACATCATCTCCAAGGACGCTCCCGACACTCGAGAAGTTTATCGATCAGGTGGTCAGGTGTTCAAACGTCCAAGTGCCGACACTTATGTCGTCGCTGGTCTACCTCAACCGCCTAAAATCTAGGCTAGGTCCCCGGTCCAAGGGCCTGCCCTGCTCTGCTCACCGCATCTTTCTCGCCTGCCTCATCCTTTCCGCCAAGTACCTCAACGACAGCAGCCCCAAGAACAAGCACTGGGCGAACTACAGCGTCATGTACGGCTTCGGCTTCAACCGCACTGAGGTCAACCTGATGGAGAAGCAGCTGCTGTTTCTGCTGGACTGGGACCTGCGCATCACCAAGGAGGATCTCTACCGGGAGCTCGACCATTTCTTGGCGCCCATCCGGGAGGAGATTGAGGAGCGCTACTGGGCCGAGAGGGAGATGCAGGCCCGGCAGGAGCGTGAATGGCAAGCGCAACAGGAGCGCGAGAAGCAGCTACGCACGCCGGCCCGCATTGCCCGCCCGCACCTGCGCGAGGTTGCCGAGGACCCCATCGCCTGGCAGGCCGCCTACAATGCCTTACCCGCCGACAACGGCTACGACGCCTCGCCGCCTCGCTCGCGCGGGAGCTCCCGCTCGCGGGGTGTCTCGCCCCCGGGACTGTGCAGCAGCGCCTCGTCCTACGCCGGGTCGACCAGCTCCCGCGCCACCACGCCGCTCGGCGACGAGGAGGAGGATATTGGCACCGTCGGGCACCAGCCGTACATTGTTGACGGGCAGAGGCATGCCGGCGAGATGTGCTACTCGCCTATCGAGGTTGTTCCGGACGTGCCCGCCAAGGACCCCATTTATGCTCACGGCAGGAAGGCCTCGGCTCATGCGAAAAAGCCGCAGATGCTGCCGTACGAGATTAGCAAAGAGGATTTGAGGAGTTTGGAAGGGAAGCAGAAGAGGGGAGTATGGGGGAGGGTGCTTAGTGGAGTTGGTCGATGAAGGGAAGGATCATGATTACGAACCGTTTACGACTGTGAGCGTATCTTTGGTCTTCTTTCCTCGTCTTTTCCTTACCTCTTTGCATTTACTTGGGCTGGGTAGCGACAGCTGCATTGATTGCATCGCTTCGCTGCCCGCGCATTGCCCAGGTTAACGGAGTTGGTGGCAATATCCCGGTTGGGCTTCTCACGACAGTTAAGCATACTGTCCAAAAGGGACAAGGTGGCTTCTATACAGGTGGCGCATCTGGTTTTGGGATGGGCGATCTGCTAGATCTGGGCTTTGGGAGGATTGGATATTGTGATGATCATGATGAGAGATGTGTTTGGCATCTTGGGCTCACCATCACCGTCCATTGTCATCATAATGCGGGCATCATTGGGTTGGATCACGGTTTTCCTTTGTTGACCACCATACCAAGCATAGCTTACCAAGCCTACACTCAAGTTAGTGTAATAATGATGATAAGAGACCAGCAGCATATCTCGGTTCTAGTATGGCCTGGTGAGATCGAGAAGTCTGCACCTGCTTGGTACGTGAAGGCCAATGATACATACACCATACAACACGATGCACTGATGGAGGGTGACTCGTGAGGAGAGTCAGTCCTGAGGGGTCCATCTACTACCCAACACTAGAATAGCTACCCCGCCTCCTCGCGACGTGTGATCGATGGATGGAATTGCCGTGGCATGACCAAGCTGACGGCGCAATGTTGGCTGCTGGTTGATACCCAATGAGGAATGGGTACAGTAATTACCAGAATGGCTGGGTCGTTTTGTGTCTCTGATGAGTGTCCAACTGCCACGTTTCAGTCAGGCGTGTGATGTCAAGCTTCAAAGGGTGTAGCTCGACGCCAATCAAATGTTCCTCGCGTCAGATGCACATTCCGGCCTCATACAGTAAGTACCCCACGAGATTAGGTACCGTACATACCTACACACACGCACACACACTGAATCTCGACTTGGTTTATGTCTACGTCTACGTAATAATTTCTTCCTACATAGTGGCAGGGCGGCCCGACCACCAGGCCCGTCTGCTCGACCGCACATCAAGTGAACCGGCGCTCGCTCGGCTGTCTGATGGGCGATGGGTGCAACCGGCATGTGAACCGGGGCCCGAAAAGACGGGCCGTGGCGTGGGGTATCCGTATTTTGTCGAGGCGTTGGGCAGCGTTTGCGGGGCATAGGCAGGATTGAATCGGATGGAAGCAGCATAGGTATGTACAGTACACAACTCCATCTGCTTACCTACATACAGCAATGTATTCGAGCTTGGCAGGTGACTGGTGAGTACAATACCTAAGCTAGCTGTGACTGTGCTCCCTGGTGAGCCTTGAGGCTCTGCTGTGAGTCTTTAGCGCGTGGAGGATGAGTGAGTATCTGCGAGGCGGGCAATTGACACGACGCAGAACCTGACGCGAGGATGTTCGGGTAGGCAGCAGAGGCTTACATCTGCGAGACGCCAGATGCGAAGGCATTGCAGCTTTGAATGGAGCCTGTAACGTTTATGTTAGGCTGATGGGTGCAACGGCCTTGTTTTCTCGGTTCTGACGCGGAGGGCATCTGTTCCATCGCGATGCTGTCCAACAGTACGGAGTAGCCCAATCTTAACCCGATGAGAGTAGGGAAGCATGACTTTTGCTGGCAGACAGCCGATCCCAAATGGCTGCTGTGGCTGGCTTAGCATGGCAGTTGCAGTGTCTTGCGATCAGATCAAGTCGCACACGACAGACGGTGTCGGGTTGAAACAGGAAGCCGAATCCGGATCCTGATCGTGAAGCCTCAGAGGCCTGTTGCTCGACATGGCTTGCAGGTTCAGAGGCAAAAGGCAATATGACTGTTTCGAGCCGCGTGCCTTGCCAGCCAACAAGCCACAGGCGGAGGGGGCGGATCAGCAGGGGAAAACGTGGGCGACACGCAAGACGGCGAGCACAGCCACGAAAACGGCGAATGACGAGCAGGAGCCGAAATGCCGAACCTCTGGCTCTTTGCAGATGCGCCACACCACGAGGCGGCATTGGGATCGCTGGGATTCCGCTGGGATTCTTTGGGGATTGACAATGACAATTTGGAATCAGTTTTGTCCCTGCTTGTAAATCGCAGACATTGGCTGCCTCGTGACCTCTCTTTGAGTTTTCGGAGTCTTCAAGTTGCGGTCTCTGGATCACATGACACTGTATGCATACAGTGGGGAGCATACTACTAGTACAGTGGGGAAATTACTTCGAATTTACAGTGCGTTTTCGCATGATACGATGCGCTGCTGAGGCGCCTGCCTCAACTTCAAGTTACACCTTCATGCCGTGGACGAGCAAGCGATACTAGTAATCGGTCGTTCAAGTCGCTCGAAAAGTGCCTTGGTTGCGAAATCCTGCTCCATTCTGCTCTGCGATGCATCAGACTACTATGGTGCATAGACTTTTATCCCGACGAAAGTCTCGTTGCACAACATTCTCTCGCACTCAGGCGAGTTGCCCGAAAGCTGGACTCATCTCCCAACGCGAGGTGCCATGAGTGAAAACCGGAGCATGTAGTGATTGTATCGCAATCTCTACTCGAGTCTAATATCGACCTTCCATCCTCCTGTGACCGGCTTCGCGGCTGTCTAACGCTTAGTGGGACAGGGAACCGAGATCATCTCTTCAATCCACTGCGCCCAAAAAACAAAACCACATAAGTATCTTAAAGACGACAGCCGACAGAGACTCTCCCTGATAACCACAAGGACAGTCTAGTAGTCTAACATCTACATCTAGCAGTACTCGTTCAACCACTCCTTCAGAGCACCAATGTTGGGGCACTCCAGAAACAGCGAGCTCTTGACCTCAATCTGCAGCTCACTCTTGAACTTCTCGGATAACACGAGCGACATGAGCGAGTCGATGCCCAGCTCCGTGAACGACGCCTCGTCATTCTCCAACCTCTCCATCTCGAGCCCCGACTCTCGGCTGACGAAGCGCAGGCGGTCTGTGACGACAGACGAGTCCTGCTGCTCTCGCTGGCTCGGGGCTGAATCATTGACTGCTGAGCTGAGCGCTGCTCGAGCTGGAGATGGAGCTGACGCTAATGCTGCCACCGCAGGCTGTGTCATTGATTTCGGGGCAGTGAGGGGCTTGGCGGCGACGGCAGGTGCGGCAACTGCCGGCTGAGGCTTCGGATTCGGAACCCTCGGAGCACGAGCGTCGCTCTTCTCCCCAGCTCCTGGCGAGAACAGGCGGTTCATGAGGATACGGGGGCGCTTACGAAAGCGCATCTGGCCCATCATACCGACCAGCTGACCGTCATCGCGAGAGAAGATGTACACGTCACCGGCAAACTCGTTCGTCTCGGTCGGATGTGGAGCCATGCGCACGTAGCTGCGGTAGCGATCGCCCGCTTTCAGACGGCGCAACAAGCGCAGAGATTTGAAGCCCGGCGTGATGTAGAACGAGTCGCGGGCATCCGTGGCGCCGCCCGCGTTGAGCACCAATCCGCCGATGTGGCACACGCTGTCGATGTGGTGGGGCGCCGAGTGCCAGACGCCCTCGTGCTGGCTCGACAAGAGTTCAACCTCGGCCGCGGCCTCGAACCCGGCCAGCACAACGCTCCGCATGCCGCGGTATTCAGGCGCGTAGTCGACTACGTTGCGAAACAACAGGTACGCCATGTTGCGGTCGAGACGGGTGGCGTCACCGGAGTCCGCCAGCCTGCCAAGCTCCTCGATCCGGCTGTTGACGAGATGGGCTACGCGCTGCCATTCCGAGACCAGACCTCGGGGTCTTCGTACTGCAACGTGTAGGTGGCGAACGCCTCGCCCGGCTCATCCGGGCTGGCGGTTTGTTGCTGGTACTGCTGCTGCTGCTGCTGATCCCCCAACGCGTACCATTCGATGACGGTGCGCTGGCTAGCAAGGTCTAGTTCCGCCCGGATATGGACCAAGTGTTGCTGCGGTTGCTCGTCCAGGACCTGCGCATGCAGAACCTCGGCGTTGCAGATGTTCATGTGCACTTCTTTGGCGGATGGTACGAGGAGTTTGTATACGTGCTCACCAATGGTCCATGCCATCTCAATCCAGATGGACTGGGAAAGCAGAGGCGTTAGTGGAACATCCAGAGATAAAAGAGAACAATGGGCCAGGGGAACACTTACGCTGGTGGCCACACCATACCCATTCATCATATGCCCCCTCGTTGACGGGAGGAGTGACGGGTGTTTAAGGTCCGACATTGCCGTCAGTCTCACACGGCCGGTGTCATGATCAACCTCTTCGCTGATGACTTGGTGGATTCCCGAAGTGCGAAGCGTCGAAGCGCATGACGGCGCCGCGTTGACTCTACTCATGCCTGGGGGAAGCTCACCGCGTGCGTAATAGTACCTGTCTAGCGACCATGTGCCGTGGTAGGGTATCCAGTAGTTACGCTCGTTCCACTGATATGCAGGCAGGTCGTTGAGCAGCATGTAGTGATGCGAGGTTTCCCCTGGGCGGAAGTACTCGTTCCAGCAGACGAGCACGCCCAAGGCATGCAGCCCCGACATCGTCGCCGCCATGGTGGCGAAATTATCCTCGCCGCGGCGCGCCGTGGCCAACGTCCTCAGACCTGCAGCAGCGGCACCATCGCCTCCCCGGGACCCGAGCCAAGCCCGGACCATAGACGCGCACACCGGGTGCGGGCCGATGTCGATCCACGCCGTCTTGGCCTCGTCAACGATCCCCAGCTCGCACGCCGCGTCCAGGGCGTCCATGAAGAGCACCGGCTCGCGAGTCGCTCGGGCGAGGTAGTTGGCGCTGATGGTCTTGTCATCAAACACGCAGTCGCGCAGCAGCGGCGAGATGACGGGAATGCGCGGCGCCTTAAAGACGACGTGGGCGGCGGCGGCTTCGAACGCGGGCAGCGCCGGTTCGAGCTGGGCAGTGTGGAACGCATACGGCACGTCCAGCAGCATCGACTTGATCCCCTTGCCGGCCAGCGCGGCGCGGATCGTCTCCATGTCCTTGCGCGTGCCGCCCAGCACGGTATCCTCCGGCCCGTTGCGGCACGAGACTTCGTATGGTGCTTCTGCTACTCCGTAGTCTGCCAGTGCCTCTCTGATGGCCTCAACGCCCGCCCGGACGGATAGCATTACGTGGCTGCCGGCGGTGCAGTGCTCGGCCATGAGGGTGGCTCGCTTGGCGACGAGGAAAATGGCGTCGGCCGCCGAGAGCACCCCCGCGGCGACAAGAGCCGCGTACTCGCCCAGGCTGTGCCCGATGACGGCATTCGGAACGACGCCCAAGTGCTCCCACAGACGTGTCATGGCGATCTCGACGATCAGGATGCACAGTTGGGTCGTGAGCGGGGAGGGGGACTTGGATCCTTTTCCTTCAATCTCAGGGATGAGCGATGGCAGGCCCAGCTTCTGTACCAGGGCATCCAGCTGGACTATCTCGGACCGGTAGGGAGGGAAGTGTTGGTAGAGCTGCTGGCTGATGCCGCTGTAGTATGCTCCCTGGCCGGTGAAGGTCATGACGACGGACGGAGGATTCGCAGCGGACACGGGCCTCGCGGTGGAAATGAGCTTGCTGCTTTCGTCCAGAGCCGACGCCAGGAACTGCCGGAGCTGGGAGATTCCGGCGGCTGCAGTCGCCACGCGCAGCGGATGGTGCATGCGTCGGGCACAGAGTGTATACGACAAGTCGTCCGCGTCTGTATCCGGGTGCTGGTCCAGGTATCGGAGGAGAGCCTCGACATTGGCGCGCAGGCTGTGCTTGCTCTTGGCGGACAGCGTAAATGGGTATGCAGCGGGTCTGTATTCCCTGTTGCGGACCATGGGCTGTACCGTGCCGTTTTCCAAAAGGAGTGTTGTGTTGCCGCCGTGGGCACCGAAGCTGTTGACTAGCGCAAAGCGTTTCCTGAGCCTCTTCTTGTCCGATCCGTCAGGCCTGGGCCAGGGAATGGCCTTGTTGAAAACCAAGCCTGCGTTCCGCCGGTCGAGGTTCTTGACAACGACGGGGTTCATGTCGGCTTCGACGCCAAAGTGCCGAGGGATCCCGTTTTTTGGTACATGAGCAGGACCTTGAGCAGCGAGGTGATTCCCGCGGCAGCCTCGCCGTGGCCAATATTGGATTTCACCGCACCGAGGTGGAGCCGCTGCTCGGGATGACGCCGTTGGCCGCGGGGGGCGAAGACTGTCGCAACGGACTCACTCTCGACGGCATCCCCCGCCTGCGTGCCGGTACCATGCAACTCAACGTAGCTGACGTCGAACGGGCTGACGCCGGCATCGGCCATGACTTGACGGTAGTTGTCCATCTGGGCGTCGGCGTGAGGATGCGTGATCGAGATGGCCTCGGCCGAGTGGTTGGTCGCCGCAGAGCAGATCACGGCGAGCACCCGGTCGTTATCGGCCAGGGCATCGTCAAGCCTCTTCATCACGATGGACACGATCCCGTCGGCGCGGCAGTAGCCATCTGCCTTCTTGTCCCAAACCTTGCACTGGCCTGTCTTGGACAGGAAGTGGCCGCGAGACAGACTGCAGTAGTTGTCGCAATTGGTGATGACGTTCAAGCCGCCGGCCAGCACGGTGTCGGCGTCACCCGACCACAGTGCCGTCGAGGCGGCGTTGACGGCCGCAAGCCCGCTGGAGCAGGCCGTGTCGATGTTGAAACTCGGTCCGCCGAAGCCAAAGAAGTAGTTGATGCGCCAGTTGGCAAAGGTGCGCTCGGTGGCGGGCACTCCGTACGTCCCGAGGTTCTGGCCCGTGTTGACCTCGCGCCAGTCGTCGCTCGCCTGGCCGTAGTAGGTCCCTACGCACTTTGCCGTTGTCGAGGGCGTGCGGTTGGGGACGAACCCGGACATTTCCAGGGCCTCGTATGCTGTGACCAGCGCCAGACCGTGCATGGGGTCCACCTGCTCCGCTTCGACGGGGGACATGTTGAAGAAGCCCGCGTCCAGGTGGCCCGGGTGGTCAATGAAGTTGCCGTACGGTGTCTCGGTTGAGTTGGGTGTCTTGCCCGTTGGGTAGTAGTGCGTCTTGACGTCAAAGCGGTCAATGGGGATGACGGTGTGCGTGTCACGGGACTCCTCCATCAGCTTCCAGAAGAGTTCGGTGTCGTTGGCGCCACCGGGGAGACGGCACGACACACCCACCACGGCAAGCTTGGCGTTTCTTGTCGCTGAAGGACTGGCGCCGAGCCATTCCTTTGTTGACCACTCCAGCACGTCGTTGATGGCCACAGGGAGCTGCGGCAGTTCTCGTCCCAGTTCTGAGAGGAGCCCTTTTGAAACGATCGACGACCCGAACTGCAGGACGCGGCACTCGGAGGTCATGGACAGGGAGTCGACTATGCCGGCGGTGAGCTTATCCAAGGAGATGGCCGCCGTAAGGATCTCGGTGATGACTTCCTTGAATAGCCCGCCGACTTTGTCCGCTAGGAAGGGCTCCCCTGTTTTTGGCGAGAAAAGGGGGAGACGCGCTTCCCGACCGTGGTCGAACGCCGGCTGCGAGCCAAGGACGATCACCTCAACATGGTTCTGCGAGTAAATGTGGGGAGCGTGGCAGAGGCCGAAGAAGACGGGCATCAGAAAATGCTTGGAATGCCGCAACTTCTGCGAGCTCAAGAAGGCGGCTTTCAGCCGAGCAGGCGGGCCAGTCACGCTGACCGAGGTCTTGTCTGCCGCACTGAGAAAGACCTTGGTAGCCTCCGGGCTTGATGTTGCCGCGTTGAAGTGGTCTACCTCGTCCTGGACCTCCTGCTCGCTCAGACCGGTGACCACATATGCCCAGCTGTCGGGCGGCCTGTCAAAGTTCCGCGGCTCGAGAAGCTGAGAGACCTGGTCGACTTGGACGGCCAGTCTGAACGCTATCCTCGCGCTCTCAACGCCGGCCCGGGACAAGTCGGACAGGGACGACGAGACCGTGAGGGTTGCAGCCGTCAGCAGGCCAACGCTTAGCCCACACAAGTGGGTGCTCTCTTGATGCAGCGTATAGGGGAGGTCTTGGGCCTCATGGCGGCTATGGGAAGGTTAGTCATGGGAGACATACGGAATTCTACCGCAGGGGATCACCTTACCCTATAAGCAGCCCGATTTGTGCAATGCACAGCAATGCGCCGTCCAAAGCGCCTGCAAGTGGCCCATTGCGGTTCTCGACGAAGTGGGTGGCGAGAGATAGAATATTTTGGAAAGGGGGCAGGGATTCCCGAAGCCCCTGAGGGAGAAGGGCTAATTCCCTCTTCACCATGCTGGTGCATTCGGTCAGGAAGATGGCGAGGAAGGGGAACTTGCGGTCCCTGGCATGCCGTTGAAGGCAGCCGAAGATGCCGACAAGATCATCGCTGGGGAACTCATTGCCGCAGTAGACCAGGTTGGTGGTGAAGTCCTTGACCACTGAACTGGAGTCGCTCGAGGCCGTGGATAACGGACCCATGATCCACTACTAGTTGATAATCAGGTTGTACAAGTGATGTACAAGGAAAGAGTGACGTTGGAATGGTATTGGCCGAGCGAGGTGTGTGTTTTCACAGGACGGGCCGGGTCCTCACCGCTGGGTATCCCGTCTTATACGCACAACGATTGTCGACCTGGATTATCTACCATCCCTTACGTTGATGCAACCCACCTCCACGTGCTATCTCACGCCGGTCCGAGGCTGAGGCTGAGTCTCGGGGTCCTGGAGCGCCAAAGTCTGGCTTACCCCTGACGGATTACGAGACCCACATCAGGTCGCCTCGGCGCCCCGAACACCTCGGAGTCCGGGGCCGGGAGCCGTGCACGACTACCTAATGGCCGTTCTTGTATTATCACGCAAAACAATATCAACACCGGTGGTCTGACTGCATTTTATTTAGGCGCGATCAAATCCCATTTTCGCACTTATTCTTGGCATCGACCGCTCATCACTCAACAGTCAATACTACTAGTAGTCAACACCATACATCAGTCCTCTACAATCGCTGCAATGGATCACTTTCTCTACCGGCCGCTTCTCGCAGCCACCATCACCGCGATGTCTTTTGTCGTGGGTACGTCGTTCGCCCTATTTCTTCCTCCTGGAAACCCTACCTTATTGTCCTAGTTACTACTAACACGGACTGACTCGACATGATGCAGGCTGCCAGATCTCTCTCTCCTACGTGACCCTCGCAGCACTCCTAGGCCCACCGCACAGCGTTTCCGAGGACATACTCCTGCAGCAGTTCCGCACCGTGTTTTGGCGCGGTTTCCGGCTGTGTCCCGTGCCGGCTTTCTTCGCGACGCTGTGCTGCCTGGTCAACGCGGCGCTGGTGCTCGGTCATGTTGGGCTCTCCGTGCAGAATTTTTTCCAGGGCCGTGTGCCGCAGCTCCTGCTGGTGGCTGTGCTTGCTGTTGGCTTGGTTCCTTACACGCTTATCTTTGTTGTGCCGGTTGAGGAGCCCCTGTTGAAGAGGGAGGCTGCGTTGCGGGGGAATGGGAAGAGCGTAAGGGCGTGTGCGAAGAAATATGGGGATGGGAAGGGTAAAGAGGAGCTTGGGGAGCAGGATACCATGACATTGATGCGCATGTGGACGGTCAGGAATTATATTCAGGCTGTGATCCCGGCGTGCAGTGTTGTGGTGGCCTGGACCATGGTCTAGAGTGTTATAAGGCAAGGGAGGGCGCAATTCAATTCAAATCCAATCAATTCAATCATACCCTTCCAACTTTCAATTCAATCAGGCGCCTTCAAATATCTTTCAATTCAATCAGGTTTTATACCTAATTTAACTTAATTGATCAATTTTGCTTGGGTACTTTTCCAGGTTTCCCAGGCTTCAATTCCAGGTTCCTTCCTTCGAATCTTTCCTACCTACCACGAATCCACGAATACAATCCACTGCCACGTATACGATGCCAAACGAACGTTCCCGACGCCCGACGCCCGTCGCCGCTATTCCCGTCGCTGTTCAAACAGAGCCTCAGCCAGTCAGGCGCTTTTCTTACGTGTATATCCGTATCGCCAACGGAGCCGTTCAGAGGCGCGTCCTTACCGTGGCATACGTCACGTGCGGGTCCAGATTCAGGGGGGGCAGTCTTTGAGTTCTGCTTAGTCAGCCTTCTAAAAGACGAACGCATTCGAATTTTATTGCGTTTTTTAGCTACTGCTAGCTATTCTGAGCGGTTGGAAGGTAGGTTAGGTAGGTCTAGCAGAGTGATGTGTGGGTTTGGTTTGACTAGGGTTAGGGTTATATATGTATTGATCAATTACTTGCAATTAATTGGTCAATTCAACTTTCAATTCAAATATCCACTGGCCAGTCAATTCAACTTCAAATATAGGCCTTCCAATTCAATTAATTGAATTGCGCCCTCCCTTGTTATAAGGGGCAGGGTACTTCGGAAGGGAACAGATCGGTTAGTGCGACCCGGATTTTTGTATGCAAAAGTCATCCTCTCTACTGCCCCTCTTAACAGATCCTCGGGTTGTCGAATGTACCTACAAAAAACACCATTCCATAGCGCAAGGTTTTTCAAGACATCAGTACCTCGCAGCACCCTATCTAATGTCCCGGTTGACTTAAGACATATTTAGGTACATGCCTGGACACTGCTCCTGGAGAGGGCTACTTTTATAAGAGCTCACGCCCGAAAGAAGTGTTGGAATAGAACTTGGCAAGACACGCCCTAGGTAGGTAGGTAAGTCCACTGTGTGAATTGGTGAGTGGGAAGAAGGAACCCTGTGTATTTAGGCACTGCCCGTGGGCCTTGGCTCTTTTTCCCTCCGACAATCCCTCCTTCAACCATTAAAGTCCAACCGGCTACAATGCATACTGTACGCCCATTTCTTCACTGCTTTCTTCAGGAAGCAAACATGAACCCCAGTCGGTGTTTCGAGGGCGCGTTTCGCCTCGGCCGCGACACAAGCTTGAGCTTTCCGAGAGCCAATAGTGCCGTGGCGCAAAATTTGGAACGTGGCGCCAGCTGCAACCAGTGAGAAGAAGCATTGTATCATCAGCCTCGAACCTCGTCGGCGAATGCGTGCAGCAGGAGATTGCAGAGGTCTATGCGGCCTAGGGCGAACCGTGCCGAAGAGGCCTCATCCCTTCCAACCTACAAGATTTACTTGAGAAAAGGAAACTCTACGATAGTCATGAGACAGAGAGGCTCTGGAAGATATTTTAGAGATCGGTACGCTGGAAAGCCGCCAGCCAGGTACCTTTACCGCTCTCTCACCCTCAAGTTATCAACAACTGCCCAGAGTGTCAGACTGTTCTCAGTCTTCTGGCGACAACTATGGACGTCTACACAGCACCTCCCGAGAACACGTACCGAACCTTGACGCTGTTCAGCTTTCCGACTGAGTCGGGAACGGTACTCGCCATTTCGACCAAAGCATCCCAATATGCTTTCATCGCGGCTGTCTATACCATTGTCATTCAGTTATGGTTCGCCTTCCTCTGGCAGGTCGCTGCTGAGATGTGTCTGATACGCCGCCCGCGGTGTCGACAAGAATGGCTGGCCATGGTGGCCATCCGCAACGCATCCGAGCCATGGACCGCTAGCTGGGCTCTGCTTGGGTCCATGTTCAAGCTTCTCGCGAGCAGGAATGAAAATGACCGACGGGGGCTTGGTGTCACTGCGCTGCTTAGCGTACCGACTGTGGTCCTGGCCGCTGGGGGTATTGTGACGGCCCTCCTGTACACGGAAAGCATGCGGCTCGGTAATGCAGCGCCAGTATCTCCGTCTTCGGTGTTTGTTCCCGATGCTTCCACATCGACTGGCTACCAACTCTCGAGCTACTACCAAGCCTCCATTCTCAGGGCTCTGGGAAGCGCGGAAAGTGCTGACGACAGCACCCGCCGGTCGTCCGTTAGCGTTAGCAAGCATGGACTACCATCCCCTAGTCCCAACACTACCAACCAGCCAGCGCAGCGCATCTCGTATGGCTACACTGTCTCCGCCTACGAACTCGGGATCCAAAAATTGGCCGACTTCGCCATCCAAGTCGAAGGGAGCTGCGTTACCGAGTACGGCTGGCTGCGCCCAGTTCAAGGCGATGCAATGGGACGCCTGGAGGAATACGTCTTTTCAACGATGAGAGTCAAACCTTACTGGTGGCAGGACCCGAAAACGACAGTCCCTCCCTCAGCTTCTTCGCCCTCACAGACACATCCGTCGGATCTGTCCTGGACACAACTAACCAAACCTACGCACTCGTTGCCACCACTGCTCTGCTGGGGAGCTTTACACCGAGCGGCGACCCTTGGTACTTTACCGAACTGGCGACGGGCGGGTCAACCGTGGCGTACGAGACTGCAGGTCCGCCATACAGAGTTGCACCAGGCAGACCCGTCCTGTCCTGCTGGGAGGACATGCAGTTCTGCCTTGGTAAGGAGACCAAGAGATGCAGCGATCTTTGGACAAGCGGCTTGCCCAAGGGGCTGATCGGCCACCTCAGCATTAGTCTCGCCATACCCATGATTGTCACCATCGGTTCCGGCGCCGGCGTTTCGGCACTCAAGGCTTACTCAGGCGTCGGGGCGGGAATGTTCTTGGACGCCACTTCGTCAAACATGTTCGCTGATGTAGAGCGCATGGTTCTGGCCGCCTTTCTTGCAACCAAGGAAATCCTCCGCGATTCGGCACTCCTCGGGAGACTGCCCGGAACCACGAATCTGCTTGAAAAGCCCGACGGAACCCTATGGGAGGGAGCAGCTGACTTCATTATCAGGACGAGCGATGTCGTTGCTATACGATTCGATCTTGCCGTGCTTGCGCCCGTCGCTACAGTCGTTGCGTTGCTTGCAGTGCTGTCAATCGAGGCGTATAAAAGGCTCAGGGGGCTGAAAAACAGCCCTTGGGCCTTGCGAAGTATCCTACTCTACGGGACACAGCTCTTTCGGCTGTTTGATACCAGGGAATCGAACTCAGCTTGGGAAATTGAGTCAACAAAGGCTCAATTGCCCATTCTTGAGTGTTCGGAGAGCGCGATTCCAGAACTGGAACCAGTCTGGAACGATTCGACTGGCGCGTGCATCATCACAGCCACACCGCCACGGCAACCTAGAAGTCCACAGCATAGCGATGAAGTTTCGGAAACAACCGAGCATCTCCTTCACCGGCACCCAGAAGAGCATTAGCGTGTACACACACGCGCATCACGGCATAGGATCCGGCCCAGCTCAAGCAATTCTCACTGCAAGCATTGAACTAGCCGGTTATCAGGGGCCGGGAGGGTATGAGCCGCATGGTGTTGGGCACCCGCTCACCAATCTGCCGGGCTTGCCGCAGAATTTGCCAGACCCCTAGCTGGGTGCAAGGCTGTATGTAAAAAACCGAATGTAAGGAAGTTTTAACTGGGTGGCCTGGAAGGAGCCCCGGAAATAAACAAATGGTCGTGGATGCACTGGCTGCAGTCGGGTGTCGAAGATACCAGCAAACATGTGGTTGCCTAGTGACGGGATGTGATGAAGGATTGAGGCGGCACCTCCAGGCAGCAAACAAACAAAGAATGAGATGTTTCAATTCTATTGGATAAGTACCCTTGGCCCCCTACCATTAGGAAATACCAATAGTCTGGAATAAGTATTTGAAGCCCGTACGAAGTGGCCAAGGTAGAACTGCACCCTCTCCGCTTCCCTTAGGAGCCCAAAGTCATATACAGGAGATTTCAGTCAGCGCCCGTGGCCTGAGCCCATTCACAACCCATCTTCAGTATGGGATTGAACTGCGGTTTCGATATCTTCCCGGCCCTTGAGCCAACCGAGGAGAACAAACGCGCCTACCGCGCGTTTCTCGACGAAGTCATAGCTACATACTCCGATAAACATGATGAGGACTCGGAGCGCCACGACGGGAAAGTTCTGGAGCTTCCAGACGATTCCGATGCCAACTGGCATCCGCCCGGGACGAACAAGCACTACATCTATATCATGATGGGCGAATGCCCCAGGATGCCCGCGCATCCCGAGCACTGCGGCTATTTCTTGCGCTTCACCTCCAAGGTTAACGGACGGTTGACCGGTGCTGAACGTTACATCAGGGGCGTGTACCAGATTGCCAGGAAGCACCTCGGGCCTCGGGTGCGTTTTTGGCATGAGGCGGACGTATATGGAACGGAAATGGACTGTTTTGGATGCTATAGCTGGACCGAGGTGTTTGATATGGAGAGGGAGCTTAAGGCGCTGCCTGTGGAAGGGGAGAGTGTTGCTAGTGGTGAGCGCGATAAGGAGGTGAAAAATAGGACTAAGGCTTGTAGATAACGGCCCAACCGGTCCGTTGATATTCAGGGGCAGAGAGAACAAGCCACCACTGTCACACGCACGTTGAGGCACAGTACTACTAGTCTCATTGATCTTCGGGAGGAGAGATCTATTTGAATGTATCTACCGTATCTTCAAGCTGTCTCCCAGATCTTGAGGTAGTTACTCAAGGCTGAATATCAATACAACCAATTTCGTACCCCATAACCGTATTCTTCAACACGGCCAAGCGAGGCACCCCGTTGTGGTTCTGGCCGGTTCTCTCAACGACTATCAGAAGGAGCGTCAGTTTGCCAAGCTGAACAGAAAGAAGCAAGACCGCCTGGTCAGGGTGCTTTGAGCGGGAAAGACAATCGAGCTTTCGGTTTTCGATATCCTCGTCGGTGGCTACGTTCGGCCCAGGCGTCAACGCTGCATACCATCTTACCTACTTGTGCAGGTTTTTTTTTTTAAATGCGAGCTCCATCTAGTGCTTACGCTTTTACCTCCAAACAGTCACGGATACAACGCACAACTCTAGAGACAGACAAGTAAGTAGCACGAATCGCATGCCGTGGCTAGCTGAAGGGCAAAGAGCCGGCTCACTTCCAAGTTAAGTTAGCAGATAAGCTGCTCAGTTTCCGGAGGTTACCGGGAACGGAAATTCTATATATAATCTCAATTCGACAATTGTTGAGGGCCAGGCCCCAAGCCAAAGAACTGACGAAGATCCTCCTTCTGTGTTGGACTCAGCTGATGCCAGACAAATATGAGCGCGATGACGCCTAATAGGACGGCAACAAAGCCACCAACGGTACCGGCAATGGTTGCTTTATCAGCAGATGATGCCCCTCCCCCACTCCCGTTATTCTCTCCCCCTGTTTGTGTTGGATAGGTACTGGTAGACGTGTGAGCATTGATCGTGATCGTCTGGGTTCCAGTTGTAGGTATTATGGCGGTGGTGCTGCTAAGCTCAGTATGGGATCGGCTATCTCGTGATGTCGTAAAGAAAGTTGTTGACCTGAATTTTGATCGCAGAAGTCAGCTTGAGCTACATGTAGGGAGGCATTCCCGTCTGGAGAGACGAACGAGGGCAACGAGGGGTGGGCATACTAGCGCGGCAATGACCCATGCCGTCGCATAGAGGTCAGGCCGAGCCGTTACATGTAGACCGCTTGCCGCATTGGTGTTAACGATGCTGGTTACGTACACAGTCGGTACAGTCTGCACTGTCGGCTGCGTCGCGCCAGCAGTGGCGGTTATTGTGGGAGGGTGATCTGGGACGAATGAAGTTGGTGACATGTAGGAATATCCAAGGCTGGCGCAGTATTCTGTGTAGATGCCAACGCCCGAATTGATGTTGATGGTTGGGTTGCCGACTTTGCACTTGCCGGAGATGCATGCGCTCAAGTAAGAGACGGCGACTGATTGTTTGTCATTCCGACAGAAGCAGTCATTTATTCCTCCTTCGAGGCAACTAGTTGCGCAGCCGAGTTTCGCTTCTAATTCATACGCCATGCAGTAGGGCTGGTGTTGAAAACAAATCTGTGCACAAGGGTCCAAATTCGCAAAAGCAGGAGAATGGGCCATGGTTTGAGCTTCGGTATTTGCAGCCGTTGCGTTGTTGAGAAGGCTGAGTGCTGTAATAATAATGCAGAAAAGCCGACAGATGAATCTTGGGAAGACCTCAGACGGAGCCATGATGGATGAATGCACTGCTGTTCTAAGATCCCGTTCTGCTGGGAAGAAGACCAAAGGGCGAAACTGCGGCGGCGGATGATTTTGCTGTGACCTCCATTCTTTAAGGGGGAAAGTCTCCCAACATGGCTGGATCAGGGCTGTGTTGACTGTTGAGGGCGTTGAGGCTGTGAGCCAGGCATTATCGCACAGTCGAAGGATGAAGCCAATCAAGACATAACATATGTGAAGCTCCTCAGCCTAGGCACGTCATGTTTCCATAGGAGCATATCCCTCTGAGGCGCTCGTCGATTTGCCTGGCTAACCGTTTAGGGACGGCTTATCATTCAGCGGCGTTGGAGCTGAACAGTGAACGGACGGCAAACAATGAACTGCCCCAACATCGCCGACGGCTAAGCGTACAATGAATTTTAGGAAGAAGGGAGGATGGAGTACCGGCATACTGTGCAGGCAGTGGAGGCAGTGATGGAGTTTTAAAGGTACCTATTCAATAACAGGGTCAGAGTGTTTGGGCGCCTTGCCCGGGTTACGGTTCAGACATCTTCAAGGATTTACAGGTGAACAAAGCAGAACTCACATGTTCTATCCGCAACCCCATTGCCTCTGTCTAAAGGGAGCATAAACCTCGGATATCAAAGTACACACCACGTCAAACAATTCCCCTAACTCGACGCCATCCTGCCAGTAGAAAACCACCTCCGATCCCCCCTGACGCACGAAAACGCCGCCCTCTTCTCCCCGGCCAACTTCCACAGCACCTGGCTCGCCAACGGCTCAATAGCCTGCGAGACCACATGCGGCGGCAAGTCTCCATGCAACTCCCTGACCAGCGCCTTGATCGTAACTCCACCCCCTGCCCGGCGCGGCGGGAGTGCATCAGCAATCTGTCTCTCGCGGGCCTCCTTGTGGCGGATATACAGATCCATCCTCGCCGGCAAATTCTCAACGCGCTCACCATGAGCCGGGTATCCAACCTCACACTTAAGCTCGCGCATCCTCTGCAAGGAGCGCACGTACGCGGCCAGGTCCTCCTTGACGCTAAAACCGTGGCCGAGCACGTTGTCACCAGTAAACAGGGCGTTTTCTTCCTCAAGCACAAAACACATGTGGCCTACCGCATGACCGGGCGTGTGCACCGCCCGAACTGTGGCACCCTCGACTTGAAAGATCTGGCCGTCGGAGATAGCCCGCTGCCCGGCGTCGGGCGTGTGCTTGTACACGCGTGATGCGAGGGCTGGGTCGTACGCGATCAGGTCCGGCACCCCGCCCGTGTGGTCGCCGTGCCAGTGCGTGAGTAGGATGTAGGCCAGGTTGAGGCCTTCGGAGCGGAGGAGGGAGGTGATACGCTCGGTCCAGGCGGGGATGCCCTGGTGGTTGGTGGGGAGGATGTCAGAGCTTGGAGGTTAAAGGGGTAAAAGGGGTAAAGGCAGAAAGGGAAGAAAGCTCACCTCTCCCGTATCAATCAGGATCCGGCTTTTGCCCGTGCCTATGAGATACGTGTTGGTCCCCTGGAGTTGCATCTGGCCGGGATTGCCGCCCAAGATGCGCACCACGCGGCTGCTAACCGCCGCCATGTCTTCCAGTTCGGGGAGCTGCGCTTCTTGAGCGGCGAGCCACTCGTTCCAGACGCCGCCGTTGTTGAAGGGGATAATATTTTTTGCCATGGTCAGAGAATCAGGGGTAGGACAGAGTAATGTGATGCTGTGATGCTATGGTAGGCCGAGGCAGGTTGTCTGAACTCGGAAGATGCGTTGACTGTTGAGACCTTCTGACAATGTGGGATAACCTGGATGGCGAACTGAGAACACCGGTAGTATCGCAAAAAAAAGTAAGGAAGGCTGCTGTCCAGCTCTGGGATGGGATCGGAGACAGTGAGATTAGGGGTGCTGTCGTAAGCAGAAAGGGGGTTCAGGGGTTCGTGCCATTGCATCGTTACAAAGGGCATCCTAACTTCGAACCCGGGACCTGATCTAGATCATTCGACACGTGGACTCAGATCCATTGTGTCCGGCGTCTTGTGTGGTAAGACCCAAGAGAGGGTGCCTGCAGCTGACGTTACCGTTGCAGTGCAGAGCACCATTGCATCTAAGCCACGTTGTCGGCACGTTGCTAACCGGACTCCTGGGTCGGGATGACACGGGATGACACGAGGTGACCGAACAATAAGCCGACGCTCCAGTCAATAGTGGTATCCCGGAGCCCGGTGTGGCACAGAACGGCCCGGAGTCCGGGACTTGCGCTTGGCGGGATGCACGCAGAGGCGAGGCGCAGCTGGTGGACTGCCGGCATGCAACGACATGGCGCATTACAGGTACTCCGTACGCAGCCCTGTTAGACTCTCACTCATAATCTCGCGCCGAGACACTACTGCTTGAAGTTGGTATCGCATAATTGGGATTCCCTGAACCCATAATACCTAGGTAGCTACGATTAGAACATCTATGCAAGTCTTTAGACCGAATTAGAAGCTAGTAGTAAGAGCAGAAAACATCAACCATCGTGTATTCTATTAGTACTGACCATTCCAAGCATCCTATTGCTTGTAGCTTGCCACTACATCACGACTTCGCCGACTTCGCCCTTTTCCACCCCCCTAAAGCGACGTTGGTAGCAACAAACAGCAGCGCGCCCACAGCACACGTCACGCCAGAAAAGATCTTGGTGTTGCGGAACCCGCTTGCGCCAGAAGCTGACCCGAGAATGGCGCCGCCAATGGGAGATCCGCTGAGGGCAGCCAACGAGGCGATGGCGAAGTACGTACCCGTGCGCGTGCCGATCTCCTGGATGGGGGAAACCTGCGCAATGAGAACAGGAATAAGGCCAATCCCCGCGCCTGAGGCGATGCCGAAAAGGACCGAGAAGGCAATGGCGGCGGCGTCGCCGCTGGCGGGGATCCAGACGGCCAGAACGAGCACACTCACAAGAGTCGCCATGGCAATCATCATGTTGAAGTGGCCGAATCTGTCGGCGAGGGCGTTGGGAACGGTGCGGCCCACGATACTTGCGGCGTTCAGGATGACCACAAGGTAGTTGGCCAGGTCTGGGGACATGCCGCGCGCACGCGCCTCGACGACAATGTAGGTGAACGGGACAAACATGCCCCCTGGAGTCCGTCAGTGCCTTTAACACCGACACCACAGGACAGGGTATCTGGGCTTACAGTAGAAGATGAACACAGCCGCGGTGAGCAAAACAAACGGCACCTCTCTCAGCGGGGAGATGAATGCCTTAATCCTGAAGGGCCGCTTTGATGGCGGGATGCGTGAGCGGACGGTAAGGTTGGCCCAGATGAGAAGGGCCAGAATGAGAAAGGCGCAGGTCCGGATGGCCCATGCGAAGCCAACGCGGGGGATGAGGTGGATGAGCATGACGGGGAAAATGATGCCGCCAATGGACGAGCCCATGGCCACCAAGCCCATGGCTGCGCCACGCTTCTTCAAGAACCACGTCGAAGCCTAGGACAGCATTAGAGTGATGACTCCTGGGCAGGTAAAGGCAGGCCGACTGACACAGTTAAAGGCCGGGAAAAACACCATCGAGGCCCCAAGAGCAGAGCATATCGCCTGGCTGAGCAGGATCTGGTAGTATTCGGTCGACAAGCTCGTCATCATGAGCCCAAAGACGTGCAGAAAGGTGCCGGCAGCAAGCAGCACGGAAGGGCCATAGTCGTCGAAGATCTTGCCCACCATACACCCGGCAAACAGCATGAAGAAGACTGTGTGTATGCAACCGTGTAAGTTCACCACTTCTGAAGATAGAAGACAGTAACAGCCGAACAGGCCCTCTGAAATAAGTATGTACGTACGTACCTTGCAAAGCAGGAATCCAAGCAACCTCAGAGGGCGTATAGGCGCTCAGCTGGTTGGCCTGGTAGTGCTGCTGGAAGATGCCGGCGCAGTTGACCCATCCAAATGAGACAAACAGGCACGCCGACGCGCCGCTGACCGTCAGCCAGGCCTGCGCGCCGCCCTCTGGGAAGTTCCCATGGCTATGAGGTCCTGCCAGTGGTTGTGAAGATGAGGGCGGCTCCGCGGGAACGACTGTGTGCTCGGTGTCGGAAGAGATCTCGCTGCCGGGAAACGGGGCCTTGGGCTCTGGGTACTCTGTCGAATTCATGTCGAGCTGCCAGCAAGTTTGAAGGTGTTGTAGACGCAGTGCCAAGTAAAGCTCGTGACTTGTGGTGGCTTATCCTGTCCTAGTCAGGCTCCTAGCTGTATCCAGAGTCTAGGAAGGTTGTGATATTGAGTCTTGGCTTAGTCCTCAAGCCAAAAAAAGACGAAAACCAGTGGGTGAGGCCACCGGGAGGAAAAGAGAGCTTGGCAGAAATGGGAGGACGGGACAGTTGAGGCAGAAGGATGAGCTGGGCGTCTTCGGATGCCGAGCTTATCCCCGAAATTGTGGAGCTCACCGGATTCCGGCCTGATGGGGGCGGAAAGGGGCTGTCTGAGTTCGGTGCACTAGGATTCCGGAGTCTGGTCAGCAAACGCGGCCGGGGTCATTGATCCTTTGTCCACCTCCAAGCGTCAACACGGGTCACGATGCTCGGAAGGTTGATGATGGTTTGCGCGACAACACCGTCGCCAGGCTGTGCAATGGCGCCTCAACAGGAGAAGAGACCGAGTGAGGAGGGCAATGACCGGAATACGGCTTCTAGTATTTCATGTTGCCCTCCTCGAGTGTTTTGGGGTCTGTCCTGTTATCATCAGACTCTGATCAAATCAACATCCTTGCAGCCTGTCGAGCAATCCTTACCAGAAAAAGAAATCTCTTCATTTCATGGCGCAGATCCCTCAAAGAACAACGGTGCTTGTGGTGGGCGGCGGGCCTGCGGGTTCATACTGCGCTTCGGCACTGGCCCGCGAGGGCATCGACACGGTCCTGCTTGAGGCCGACAAGTTCCCGCGGTACAACATTGGCGAGAGCATGCTGCCGTCTATCAGGCATTTTCTCCGCTTTATCGACTGCGACGACAAGTTTGATGCCCACGGCTTCAGGATCAAGAAAGGGGCTGCCTTCAAGCTCAACCAGAGCCTGCCGTACGCATGTAAGTTCCATCAGAACCCCCAAGCCGAGAAAGAAACACACGACTAACCACCGTGAGCAGACACGGACTTCGTGGGTGCCGGCGGTCCCCAGGGCTACGCCTACAATGTGATCCGCTCCGAGGCCGACGGGATCATCTTCCGGCACGCTGGCGTAAGCGGCGCCCACATCTTTGACGGTGTCAAGGTCGACGTTCTCGAGTTTGTACCTTCGGGCCTTCCCCCGAGCACCGACCCAGATTGCGAGATCCCTGACCCCGGGCGTCCTGTCTCGGCCGCGTGGACGAGGAAGGAGACGGGCGAGACGGGTGTCATTCACTTCGACTACCTCGTCGACTGCAGTGGGCGCGCCGGTCTGATGAGCACAAAGTATCTCAAGAACCGCAAGTACAACACGGGCGAGCAGCTCAAGAACGTTGCCACCTGGGGCTACTGGACGGGCCACGGCGAGCATGCCAAGGGCACGCCTCGCGAGGGAGCCCCGTACTTTGCGGCGCTGCAGGATGCCAGCGGCTGGGTGTGGTTCATCCCGCTACACACGGGCCAGGTCTCGGTCGGTGTGGTGCGGAACCAGGACGCGTCGACCCGGACGAAGCGGGAAAGGGGGCTGGACAGCAAGGGGTTGTACCTCGAGACGGTCAGGGAGACGCCTGGCGTGCAGGCGCTGCTCACCGAGGCGCAGCTGGTGACGGACATCAAGTCGGCCTCGGACTGGTCGTACAGCGCACCCGCCTACGCAACCCCGTACACGCGCATCTGCGGCGATGCCGGGTGTTTCATCGACCCCTTCTTCTCCTCGGGCGTGCACCTCGCACTGGCTGCCGCCCTCTTGGCAGCAACGACCATCTGCGCGTCCATCAAGGGCCAGACGTCGGAGCTCGGGGCTGCGGCGTGGCACTCCAAGAAGGTGGCCGAGGGCTACATCCGGTTCCTCGTGGTGGTGTCGAGCGCGCTGAAGCAGATCAACGCCAAGGACCAGCCCGTGATTGCCGACTTTGACGAGAAGTCGTTTGACCGGGCGTTTAAGCACTTCCGCCCCATCATCCAGGGCACCGTCGACGTGACGGGCAAGCTGTCGCAGAGCGAGGTGTCCGAGACGCTCAACTTTTGCCTGCGGGCCTTCATCCCCGTCAACCCGACCGAGAAGAAGGCGCTGCTGGACAAGATGCGCAGCCTGGCCATCAGCGATCCCGAGGAGATGAGCGACGAGAAGTATGCACGCATCGCCGGCGAGCTCGAGGCCGTCCTGACGCCCGAGCAGCTCAACATCCTCAAGACGCTGCGCGCCCGCCGCATGCTGCGCTCAGATGACACGCTCAACATCGATAGCATCGGCTCCGACGTCATCGACGGTCTGTCGCCCAACCTGCTGCGCGGCCAGCTCGGCCTTGTGAAGCCGTCCAAGGCCTACAAGCCCAAGCCGGCTGCCTATAATGACTTGTCGCGCGATGCAATGGCGCTGCTGATTGGCGAGGATGTCTCCGAGAGCGCCGTCCCGACTGTCGCTGCTGGAAGCGATTCCAAGACTAACGGTACCAATGGGCATGAGGTCAACGGTGCCTCTCACGCCAACGGAATGAATGGACATGGAGTCAACGGAGACGAGCATACCAACGGCGTCAACGGAGCTTCTCATGCCAACGAAACCAATGGAGTTAACGGCGCCTCCCATGCCAACGACACCTCCAACGGCGGTGAATTGTCGTCGCACCTGCACGTCACCCCGCTGAAGGGCCTCAACCAGCAGGGCCAGGACGAGGCCACCCGACTCCGCACGCAGGACACGCTGCACCAGATTGCCGAGGAGATGGAGACGCCCCATGACACCATGCTCCGGCTGTTCAACGCTGTAAGTCGCTCCTTTCACAGCACCTTCTCTTCACGAGCCCCATAAGTACTAAACCTGCCGTACCGTGGCATAGAACCTCGAAATCTCGGTCGTCAAATCCGCCCTCGACCTCGGCCTCTTCAAGCGTCTCGCCTCAAGCCCGACTTCCCTCAGCGTAAACGACCTGGCATCCCCCTCCGGCGCCGACCCGCAACTCCTCGGCCGTCTCCTTCGCTATCTGGCATCAATCCGCATGATCCGCGAGACAGGGCGGGACCGTTTCACAGCCAACCACGCGACCGTGGCCTTCACCGACCCGCGCGTCGAGGGGGCTCTCAACTACACCTTCCACATCAACGGCCCAGTTTACCAGTCCCTGCCGGCCCACCTCGCCCAGACAGGCTACGGCCGGCAAAAAGTCGCCAGCAGCGGGAGCAAGCTCGCCTTCAACAAAGCCTTTGACACGTCCCTCCCAGCCTTCGCCTGGTTCCAGCAGAACCCGCAGACGCTGAAGTGGTTCCAGCAGCTCATGAGCGTGCCGCGTGAGGGCGACTGGCTGGATGTCCTGCCCATGCCTGACGTTTCCAACGATGATAAGATTGCCTTTGTCGACGTAGGCGGCGGCTTCGGCCAGCAATGCGCGCGGCTGACGGCGCGGTACCCGGGACTCAAGGGCCACGTAGTCCTGCAGGACCGCCCGGAGGTGATATCCTCGGTCAAGGCGTCAGCCCCGATCGACGGTATCATGGCGGTCGCACACGACTTTTTCGAGCCGCAGCCCGCCGAAATGCGGGGCGCGCAGTTTTATTATCTGCGCACGGTGCTGCACGACTGGGATGATGCCGATGCGGAAAAGGTTCTGCGCAACCTCAAAGAGGCAGCGGGCGGCAATGGTAAAGTGCTCATTGATGAAATGGTGCTCCCCAACCAGGGCGTGCACTGGTGGTCGGCTTCGCTCGACCTGCACATGTACGCCATGCTGGGCGCGTTAGAGCGGACTGAGGAGCAGTGGCGTGCTCTGCTGGATCGCGCGGGATTGAGGATTGTGGAGATCAAGACGTACAGTCCCGTTATGAGGCACTCGATTATTGTGGCTGAGCCGAAGGAAGTGATGTAGGATGGAACTGTGTAAGGAAGTTGGGTCTTTGGGTTCTCATGTGAGATTAGTTCAGGGCTGCTCCTTCTAGAATTGTTGGCAAATTTTATGCTCCTTATTCTCCTCTGCACCTTCCTGCCCCTTTTTCTCTTCCCCTTGTCGTTTTTATGATCCTTCCCCCAGCTCAAGTTCTCAACCCACAATTTCCCTTGCCCTGCAAGAATCTCCCCTTTTGACGACGATTACATGCATCATGCATACTACTAATTATTACTGTGACGCTATGGCCGCCCCCCGGTACTCAAGCAAATGACCTTGGGGACTTACTTTGGGTCTAACAGTGGAAGAATCATCAAGGCAAGAGGAACCTGTATGTGTTCATGTCGCCCTGTTTCATTGCCAAATCTCGCTGCCATTCATCAGCTTTCTATCCTCAATTCCAATTTCACCTATCCTTCCCAGACCCTGTTGCACTTGCAGCTCGTTCTATTCCAAGTTGTAAATGATGGCTATCATCGATACGTCGTCCAACGACCTACTGCATGTATCTCAAACTTGTAAGTAACCCCCCACCGAGCCATGATGATGCCCCTCACTCGTGGCCTTTTCTACCGCCGCCTGCAGCCTTCCCCTGATCTCTCCCGCTAGACCCAGTAGCGTCTCGCGCAGCTCGGCATCGTCGACAATACCTTCGTAGCGCCCCGTGAACTGCACCACCAGGTTGGCCACACGGCCGAGCTCGCTCAGCAGGCCGGCGCGCGCCGCTGGGTTCGAATACATGGTATTGCAGTCCATGCTTGCTGGAGACGAAGGGGGCTCTGTTGTTGTATTTGTTGCTACCATGGCGTCGACAGCGTCCAGCACCACGTTGCAGCCCGCCGCGACGAGCAGCGCCACGTCCAGGTTCTGCGAGCACGGGCAGATGAGCACGCGAGAGAGGATGACGGCAGAGCTGCTGAGGAACGAGCCCGCGTCTGCCACGTCCGCGCTGCTGTCGATGATGCCCAAGAGAAGGCCATAGCAGTTGTTACTGCTGGGAGTGTTGCTGTTGCTGCTGTGATTGCTGCTGCCGGGACTGTTGCTGGCCGCTCCAGGAGTGCTACTACTACTAGGAGTAGGAGTAGAATCCGGGGATGGCGGGTTCTCTAGCAGGAGGCATGGCTTTTGGCCCGCTGTCTCTGTCCGTTGGCTTGCGCCGCATGATATTGACGCCGAGTAATTGAGACCGGGCGGTTTTAGTGATGAAGGCGTCGAAGCGGTGGCTGAGGCTGGACCATTGCTGGATGAGCTTAGGGAATTGGAACTGTGCTCTCTCGAGTTTGAGCGATGGGGTGGCCCGATTCGACGAGCCGGGCTGTAGTAGCATCGGTGGCCGAACTTGTCACACCTGGCACAACTTGGCTTCTCCTTGGTACTAGAGTGAAGACACGGCATCTGTCAGCGTCGACGTCGCTTCCCGTCTTAGGGTATGCCATTAACCCCGCGCCAAGTTGCCAACCCGCCGGGTAGCGATGCATCTCAGACCTGGGCTCCAAGATATCAGACGGATGCCCATATTTTAGTACGTACCATCTGACTTTGGCTGCTGAGCAGGGGTCGCACGAGTCCTTGAGTTTGAGCTGTTGCGACTGATATCTCCTAGCGGTGGCATCCATCCCGTCGTTGGGTGATTCCGGACTCGTCACACTGATTGATTCTGACTTGAAGATCGTAGATTACGTGCAGGCTGGCCTCGGTGCGTTCCATTGGTATGCGAAGGCTCGCCGGTACCTACCTCCCAAGTCTACCTTAGCTACCAGACGACTATACGTATATGGATGCAGCACTGCTTACCAGTGCTCTGCTCTAAGTACTACCCAGCTAGACGTGGAGGCTGGAGCTTATACATGCATGTGTGTAGGCGGCACTCGCAACCACTCCTGGCTTGGGCACTCTTCGCCCGCTCGACGTCGGATACTGAGTTACGTGATCCGAGATCGACACATTTCCTCAACGTTTTTACATACCTGCGTCTAGGGCCCGGGGTTGGGTCGAAAGTCGGGTCAGCTGATGGACCCCTATCTTCCGGTTCACCTCGCATTCAGCGGCTAACGCTGCATTTGCGTGGCGCAAATGTGACTCGGTCCGGCTCTCGAACGTAAGCAGAACAATACCGAATAGCTGGCTGCCAATAAGCGATGCTTCTCCATCAGTAGATGCTGCAGCTAAGGTCTCACAGGTCAAAATTGTCTACATATTGACACAAAGGGCAAAGAGCAGAAAGTCAGCACGCGTGGAGTTGTTCGGTGGGCTTGCAGATCGTTTCCTCATAGGAAGAGAGGGGATCAGGAACCAGCATGATTCATAACTCGATATGGCATGGTGCTTAAGGGAACTAAGGTAGAGACAAGTTAGACAATAAGACTAACCTGCAGTAGGCTGCTCTAGCTGGGACACTTTATCCTTCACACTTACATACAATCGTATTGTTCTTTATCAGCCAGCAGCGCCGCCCTGCCGCCGACAAGAGTTCACTACTTGCTAGCCTTGCAGGTGCCGTCAGAGGACATGGAGTCGCGGCCCGCATGTACGGAGTACGTGTAAGTGATAGCCTGATAGGCGCCTGTACTTATGTACGCCACATGGAACTGAAACACATGTAGGTAGGTATGCAAAGTAACAGTTATTTGACTTATTGCCTTCAATGGCAACCCGAACGTGACAGATTTACCAGGTGGCGGTAGTTGGTCACGGTGATATAGATATTATAATCTACTAGTACCTAGGTGCCTCAGATATTCGATCACGCAGTCGGGCTTAAGCAGGGGTTGCCGGGATGGGCTTCCCCTGATTATGTATGTACTTGTTCTGTACTGTACGAGCTGGAGCGCCTTCAGCTTCCGGTCCTTACAAGACACTACCTTACAGCTGGAGGCGGGGTTAGCGATTAGGAGTTGGAGGAGCATAATACGGCGGTGCTAGGTACTTCTGTAATGTACCTCAGGCAAGCTCTGGTGCATTTAGGGTTACACATTCAAAGACAAGGCGACTCCACGGCAGGTGCTGAGTGCTGATCACTGTTGCACCTTCCACAGCTTCCGCAGCTTCCATACGAGGTCCTCCACCTCGATGTTGATTGCCATGCAGTTCAACACCATGGCTTGCCATTGCTCGCAGCGAGAATGCCTGTCTCAGATTCCACAAGACGGGCTTTCCCCCCTGGCAGCGCTGCCAGAGCCGGAACCATCTGCGTTCGCAGACGTCGATGATAACTTCGATGTTGATTTCAACAGCTACATCGACGGCCTGGTCATGGCAGAAGGTCTTCAACCACTTGCGCCTGCCGACAACCACCCTCACGATCATCATTGCTACCCGAACCGCCACAATCAGAATACTGCCAGCCCCGACACGCCATCGCCGTCCTTGTCCTCATCATCATCTTTATCACCGCCATTTCAATTCACCTCGGCGTTCCCATCCTCATCTCTCTCCACCTCCCCGCAAAAACAAACACCACGAATCCAAAAAACACAACAAACAAAATATGAACAGCTAACGGACCGACCCGATCATCCAAAAGCGGCAGCCGACTCGTGTCTACAACTCGGCCTCAAACCACTAGCATCGCTCAGCACCGCCTCGGCATCGCACATTTGCATCTTCAGCAAGAGCTGCACCGTCAGCCGGCCGCGATCATCCTGCCGGCCGCGTATGGTCGGGGCGGCTCTCGCCGTTAACAAAGACGCAATGGACTCGGCCCGCCGGATCCTGGATTGTCCCCGCTGCCTGGCGAACCCTGCAGCCCAGATGGTGGTGATAGCCATCTGCGACAGGCTGATTACCTGGAGTCAGGCCACGGCAGCCAGCTTGGTGGGCAGCGGCAGCGGCAGCGGCAGCAACATGAAGCGAAGCCATTCCTCTGCCTTCGGGACTGGGTCTGGCTCTGGCGGGAGCACCCCGTCACTGGGAAGCAGCAGCAGTAGCAGCCGCAGCGACATGATGATGATGACGATGGGAGCCTTCCATCATCAGCAGGGCGGGGCCGGGGAGGAGAGGGGTAGGGAGGAAGGTCTTGGCACCAACAACACCAACAACAACAGCAACAGGAACAACAACCTGGAACTGCACCACCACCTCGTGCAGCAAGCGCAGGCACAGGCAGCGACCACGGAGAAAGTGGGCCGGCAGACGGTGCGCCTGGGCGACTTTGTGCTGGACGACGCGGTGGCTGACCAGGCGGTGCGGTGCGTCGTGCTGCACGATCTGGCACCGCATTGAGGCGCTGCTGGACCGCGCCGCGGCCAATACCACCCTGGCCCACTGCCGCCTGGTAGCGCTCTTGCAGCGGAGACTGCACAGGGCTAGAGGGACGGCTACTAGCTGCTAGCTAACCCGCGTCGGGGAGATATGATGATGCAGGTTGTGGCAATGATTCCTTTGATTCAAGAACATCTGCGTTGGAAGATGGAAACACTATTATATGGACCGGATAGATTATCGAGTGACTGGATACTGAAGGGACATGGACGTTCTGGTTCGTGGTAGTGCTAAGCATCTCAAGCAACCCAAGCTTTTGAGCCCCCTTGAGTAGGTGTCTGCAGGGTGGGTTCAGTACGACAGCTCTATGGGTCTTGATTGGGTGGGTCTACCCGTCTGAACGGCCAAGAAATCGCTACCAGTGGTTTCTGATTTGGCGGCATCTTGCCTTTTGTCCTGTCAGCTCGCTTCTACGGTGGACGCTACACAGCATCTGGCGTAGCGTATTCGAGCGCTCGAGATCCTGCGGTGCTTTTCGGACGCGGTCGTGCGGCATGAGAGGATCTATGTTGTGTTACGCATGCATATACCTTGAGTGCCCGAATGGATACGGTCAATACAGTAGCTACACTCACTCCATGTACCAACATGGAAAAATTGAACACCAGAATTCGGCGCCCGTGCCGTGTCACACACACCCCGTAGGGGACAGATAGGCGGCATGCAGGGTATATCCTTCCCGTGCCGCTTAGGGCTTATCCCCGGCCTGTCGGCCAGTCGGCCTCCGGGCCCACCGGATTCCGTCCCTCCCCACTGTCGAGCTTACATCTTACCTTGGTCCTCGTCGCTTTTATTCTTGGCTCTGCGCCAGATCGGCAGGACACTGCCGGTCAACAACCTTACACAAGGCCAAGCCCTTCCTTCTCAGCCTCACATTACATTTGGCGCTGAACTATTGCTTTTGCTACTTGACATTTACATCCGCATCAAACTCCTTTGGTACCTATAAGCAACGTTAGAAACCTGGAAAACAACAACCCCAGCCCCCTATCCCAACCGACTTCGAAGTTTGAAACATGGCCACCCCAATCAAATCCCTCCCCAAGTTCGTCGTCTACCGCGGCTTCCAAACCGTGCCGACGCACGTCTGGTCGCCCTTCGTGAACAAACTCGAAACCCGCCTCCGCCTGGGCAAAGTCCCTTACCGCCTCGACGTTGGGTCGCCACGGAGCGGGCCGCGCGGCAAGATCCCCTACCTCGGGAGCGAGGGCAGCGACGAGGTGCTGGGGGACACGGCGCTCATCACGCGCAGGCTGGTCGACGACGGGGTGCTGGCCGACCTCAACGCCGGGCTGACCCCGGCCCAGCAGGCGCAGGACCTGGCTGTGCGCGCCCTGCTCGAGGACAAGTTGTATTTCTACCTGCAGCGCGAGCGCTGGGCCGACAACTACCACGCCATGCGCGACGGGGTGCTCGCCGCTGTTCCATACCCGGTTCGTCTCGTCGTCGGTAACCTCGCCTACCGCGCTGTTATAGCGGGTCTCAATGCCCAAGGCACGGGGCGGTACTCGGCTGAGGAGCTGCGTGAGCTCAAGCGCGAGGCGTGGGAGAGCCTCGATGCTATCCTCGCCGAGTCCCGTCGCAATAGTGCGGCGGCGGGTGGGGACAAGCCGTTCTGGGTGTTGGGGAGGGCAGAGCCTACCGAGGCAGATGCGACTGTCTATGGGTTTATCGCGGCAAGTCTGGTTTGCACTGCGTATGTCTCCTCTCTGTCTGTGTGTGCTGTAGATGACGAGGTAAAGCTGACTGTGCACTTCTTATAGTGCTCCTGAGACGCAAAGGACCGTCAGGAGTTTCCCTGTCTTGGTGGACTATGCCAAGAGGATCCATGCGGCTTACTTTAGTGATTATGATATCTGGGCCGACGAGGTATGAACCTATGAGGAGAGTGGTCAGGAAGTGGGATCGTTGCAGCACCTGAATACGGTATCTACCTAGTAAGATGTGTGACAACAAGTTCCTGGTCGTGCGTAGAACTCAGTGAATGTGCCTCCTAGGACCTACTAGATACTACTAGTATGGAGTACATTCTAACTGCATTTGTTCCAGTTGGCACTAGGGGTTTTATAAGAGCCATGTACCGAAGTACACCTGAAACCGGTGCCAGCGTAAAAGCAGAAAGGGAATACCTCAACGGTAATGTTGAGTAAGTGTAAGGTACCCTACCTATACGTGTATTCTAGAGTTACCTAGCCGAGGTAGATAGGTACTGGATTGAACTCAATCCCAACCATTTGAAAGGGTAAAGATCTATCGTGCGGACATATTAGGGACTCGAGTTATAAGAGTGCTATGAGATAAGTTTGATCAGATACCCCAGTGCCTACCTACTCTCGTTCACCAGCACAGATTTCCAGGTCTTGACACGGAAGCGCCCTTCATCCAACCAGAATTCTAGCAATAAGGTACCTAATAAACTGCGAGAATTACTCCGTGGGCACTAGTACTTTTCTATTCAGGCACTAGTCCCCCCGACCATAACACAGGTTTAGGGTTATAGCTGGCACATCCGCATCCCCCCCGCTCCTGACTGCGCGTACCCATCTTACTGCTCAACGCGAAGACTGGCTCAAATGGCTCAATTCGCTCGAATTCGCCCAAATCGCTGGAATACACTCAATCGCTCGAATACACTCTAATCGCTACAGAACGCTCAGATCCGTCCACACAACGTAACCTCACCTCCTTGCGCGTTTCCTAGCCCTACCTCCTTCCCTACTATCCTCGCCGGCCTTCGGCTTGTTCTTTGATCCCGGAGGCCATCCGCGCCGTCTGGGCTGTACCGGTGGCTGCTCCTGTTGCTGAGGAGCGGGGGCAGTTCCCTGCTGTACAGCAGCAGCCTCGCCGGCGCGAGGCACACTGCCATCGGGGGGTGTTCTCCATGTAAAACAACGGTCAGGGTCATACCGGAGCGTTTGGTTATGACTCTCTACCCAGCCATATAGATCCGGATTGCTGGGGGCTAGGGGGGCTGACGTGGCCGTCGTAGGGACTCCGCAAGCTCCCACTGGGAGCGGTGACGTCGGATACTAGGCTGTAATCACGGAGCGTTGCCTTACGGAGGCGGTACACGAGGCGGCGGTACGGGAGCTGGATGTACGGGAGCGGGATGGGCGGGGGCTGGCCGGGTGGGAGCTGGACGTACCCGCGATGGCGTCGATGGCGTCCCTAGCGTCGCTCCGGCTCCCCGGCGGCGGCGGGACCGATTGCTTGAAGGCGGTGCCTCCTCTGGTAACGCGAGCTCGGGTGGCAACGGAACCGGTACGTTCCTTGGTCTACCTCGGCGACGGTCCTTCTGAACCTGACTCGGAGGAGGTCTCGATAACGCTCTCTGGGTCCGCCATGGTAAAGCGCGATTGCTTCAAAGCGGTAAAGAGCGCTTGATTTGAGGTGGAAAAGCCCGATTGATTTGAAGCAGGAAAGTGATCGATTTGAAGTGGGAAAACGATGGATTGATTGATGTGGTTGAAGTTGAAGATTTGAAGTGGTGGTGGAAGATTGAATTGGTGGTGGAATGATTGAAGTGGTTGACTTAGAAGATTCGAATGGGGTGCGCGCTTGCGATAACCGTAACCCTGTGCCATGGTCGGGGGGACTAGTGCCTGAATAGAAAAGTACTAGTGCCCAGAGAGTAATTCTCTAAATTGCAAGCTCTTGTCTCACCTCTGTTGAGTGGGAAGGAGGGACCCTGGGAATACCTATATTGTCGGGGCACTGGTGAGGCTTGGCTCTTTTCCTCCTTCAACTTGAACCCTCCTTCAACCTTCAAACAGCCTACAATCAATAAGTACGTACACCCAATTCTTCAGTGGCTTCCATTCATTTGTTCCCGACTCATCTCCCCGGTAAACCGCTTTGTGGAGGCTTGGCTGTTACACAACCTCGTGTTCCGCCTTTTGCTTTTGATGCATATGCTTAATGACTGCATGTGGTGGTTGATCATTCCCCGCCCGTACACACATGACTTTTGTCATTGCAGTTTCAGGCTTTCAGCCACATCTATTCTGAATCTGCTGAACTGCTCCGCTGCATCCAGTGTGAAGTTTTGTTTCCAGTCTTACATTTCTACTGTCTTCATATTAGCGATATGGAAGTCGCCCTTACATTCGGCAGCGTGGGCGATATCATTGCCGTTTGCCAGCTCGCTGCCCAGCTTGCTCGGGCACTGAGAGACTCATGTGGTAGCGCAAAGGAATATCGTGAGCTCCAGCGAGACTCGGAGATGTTGGTGAAGGTGTTGATGCAGGTTGGTGCCGTTGCATAAACGACTTCTTATCAGACTCTTGCAAATTTTCCTGTTTGCATACCCAAGGTACCTATATGTACATATATGTATCTGATTCTGACGTATCCCAGGTCATTGAGACATATTCACAGCACTCGTTATCTCCATACCTAGACGGCCTGAATACCGTTACGAAGGAGGTGGTCGACGAACTAGGATCCCTGATCCGAGAGCTTCTTTCCCGGTGGCGAGCCAAGTATCATGACAGCTTCCAAACCGGAGGTTCTGGAAGGAGGCTCAAAGACTGGGGGAAGAAGATTGAATGGTCCCTGCATGAGCAAGAAGTGGTCAGGGACTTTCAGGATAAGCTAGCACGCGGAGTGCAAAGGATAACGCTGCTGATGAGCCTTGCTGCGCGGTGAGTCTATCATCTCTAGTACGTTTAAAACAGTGGATGCTCAACCTGAGATCTTTATTCAGGAGGTCCTCCCGTGTTGACAACGCCACAATGCTTGCCCGGCTTCAGGAAGTCAAGCAGCTAGTGGCAAAAGACCAGGAGACACAAGAAGAGATATTGCGTCTAACCCAGAGCACAGCCTTGGAGTTCCGTGATGTTTCCCAACGGTTGCAGGTCCAGGAGGTTAACAGCAAAATGACACTCTCCATCGTCCAAGGCACCTTCAGGGCTGTACGCGAAGTCAGGGAACTTGTTGATCGGGTATGCCAGGCGGTGGTGGGCCTGCAGATCATCGCGTCGAACTCCATGTTCTTCCGGGCGTTGGATTCAACAAAGAACCTGCCTTTGGTGGTCGAGGATGCGCTGGGTAGCTTTATCGAGATTCCACTAGACCTGGTGCACTCCTGGGAGGTAAATAGCCTGATCTCCCTCATTAACTCAGCTCAATGTACTTTGACGTGATCTGACAAGTGCAGATGTTTCACCTCCTCCTTGCTCACCAATTCGAAAATCGCCGAGGACACAGTAAGGTGTTGAATCACGAGTACGCCCTAGAGGAATCATGCACCGGGAGAGATGTTGAGAAGTCACTGCCATGGACAGCTTCGGTGCGGCGAGGAATGAGGGTAAATATGAGTATTGTCTCGCGGAGGTCAAGATTATCAAGGGGGTGTGCCCTCGGTGCAAGACGCCACACAGTGCTCTGGATGATGTCAATATCCAGTGGTGAGTCCTGGAAAATTGTCACAAGGGATACAAGGATGGAGCGTGAGAGTAGGTACTAACGGACTTATAGCACCAACGATGTGTGCAGGATGTGGTTCCGCATCCAGTCGGAGCAACAACAGGGTCGGAAAGTTATCGACATTCTCACCGACTCGGTCGACTTCACTCAAGGTGCCCATATCAATGAAACCTCACCGGCCTCGGTCGGTACCGACAAACCATCTGATTTCCAGCGCGTACGCCTGATTACTACTGCTGAGGTGAGTCCAAAGCAATGATACGTATACTTGTGTGTGGCGAGTGCATACTATTGCATGTACTTGTACTGTACATACATGTACCTTGGGGTCCAGCCATAGGGTGCATGTAGCCACTCAGCTAATCATCAGCGGTACTAGGACGAACACATAGCTATACCGGAAGAGGACGAGATACTACGGCGAGTGATATCCAAACAGCCGCTTTACCGCAAGATCCTTGGCCCTTGTT